CGGCCAGCGGCCACCATCTGGTATCTTCAGCTGTGTAAGAGTGTGTCAATGGTGTCCAGAGTACGCCCCTCGACACAGTTATACCATGCGGCGGGTGACTTCAGAGGACGCACTGAAGTCTGATGGGCTCTGTGCCTTCCTGTGCCGTGCGCTCTCGTATGCCTCCCATAAACATACCCCAGATTCGTGCACAATTACCCGCGTGCTACTCTCACTAAGACGGACCTCCATAGTCACCAGCGTCATCAGGCCAGCTCGGGTCATAACTCGTCTACGTTTAGCCAGCGACATCCATTACAGATGCCGTCATCCGATCCCGTCTCCCGTTTCTTATTTGCGGCACCGCCCCCATCGGAGGTAGCAACGGTCAACACCGACGCCCCTCAATTACAGTTTATCGGCAGTTGGCTGACGCAAAATATACAGTACAGCCCGTGCGGCAGTCGGAAATCACAGCCGGCTGTTACTCACGTCTTGCGTCACGCAGCTGTCACGGGCGTCACGGGCCGTACGGGACGGCCCGGGGGCGTCCCGGGGACGGGGGCGGGGGCGGCGGGGGGCGGCGGCGGACCAATGGCAGCCGTCCCAGCGGTACCGCCCTCCAGGCGCACTGTTTATCGTGTAGCGGTGCCCAGCGTGGATTGGCCCTCGGCCTGACCTTGACCATGAATGGGGCGGCCAGGCGGTGCCTCAGAGGGTACGGGGTGTAAACAGAGCTGCCTCCGGTGACAGTTGCCGTGTCAGTGCAGTGGGACGACACCGCACCGGTCAGGTCACATTGACCGGGGACCGTTACCGCCGCTGTATGCGGGAGCGTGGGCAGCGAGCCGTCAAATATTTACAGAATGGTTGGGAGATGAACTGCAGAATGGCTCTGAAGTATGATATCCTCTACCGACGAATCTGCTGAATTGCCGGGATATAATTCAATTAATATGATCGAAAAGTCGTTCATGTTTTGGTCGTCGAAGTAAGAGAAACTTCACCAAAAAACAGCTCAAAGCAGTAATCATATTCCAGACCGGTTTCGGCACGTTCAAGTCCATCATCAGTGGGTAATGTGGGTATACATGTTACATTCATGATACATGACAAAACAAAGTTCCAAGCTAATTCAATTATGTCCAGCTCGTACTGGCTATCTGGATGCTTTAATTTATTTTGGAAGTGTGTGCCTGGCAACCTTTCTCTCTATACATCGAGCGCTTTTCAGATGCTTCAATTGATGAAATTCCTCAAGCATGGGACAATTTTTATCCTTTTATCTGTATCTTCAGATGTCAGCTTCCGTCAGCCATAATGAGCGTAGTTGAAAAACAGCGGGAAACGGGAGAAAAAGATAATGAATTCGTGTCAATTAGCTTGGAACTTTACCTTTGGTCTTACCAAACACACTCTCATATTTTTAGCCATCGGGACAATGCTCGATTATCCAGTTCTCGTCTCCCGCGCCAAGCAAAATGCTCTGAATAGCTTTCAGATTTTATGAAGACATTGAATCGAAGGTTCGCTGTTTTGCATTTAATTAAACTATTCGCGTACTTATGTTGCAAACTGCAACGAAATTATTGCAAGTATTCGAAGTATCCCAATCTGGGATATTTAAATTACAGGATAGGATTTTGATAATGCGCTGTGCCAAATACCTACTTACATGGATAAAAACGTTCGGCGATATTAGGCGATATTCATACGATGAACATAGGTGCACTCGCATCACGAAACACCTTATATCGATTTATATCATTATCATTATTATTTTTATTATTGTGGCCTAACGGCGCATATTTGGACTTTGGTATTAAATTGAAATTGCCCATGCATTGCCAACTAAACGTAAAATTTTGCAACTTTCAGCCGTATGCGTGCGCCGTGCATCCACATTCACAGTCTGACGTAGGTATATTGTCGGTTGTCACCATAACACACACAGCGAACCCACCTGTGTTGTCGCTCCTCCGGCTCCGCTGCGACCACCTGGGTTGTCACCGAGCCCAGTCAGCTGTCAGCTCCGAGCTCCACCGGCCGCGCACCACGCAGCTCTGTCCGTGCGCGACTGCGGCCGTTCGGTCGGCTCGGCGGCGGCGCGCCCGGGACGGCCGTGAAAGCACGTGCAGCTCCGACGGTGGACCTCGCCGGGGGCTGAGGGGAGGGGCGGGGGCCGAGGACCGGCCCCGACCCGACCCGCCAGGCTGGGGGGCCCCACTGGGACAGGGCAGGTGGGGAGACGGCTTTGTAGTGGGGGATGTGTGGCGAAATGCTTACGCGCACTTGTGTTTTTGTTGTTGGATAAAACGGGGTATTCATCTGTTGGGTTCTCCAAGGGGGTCATCTGAGTCCGTACCGTGGCCTTGCTCTTTGTCGGGGAAGCGGTGACCAGCGAAATAGGAGCTTTATATCGCATGTTTTGAAATTCGTTTTTTATGATTGACAGCAGTCTGAATGGCTCAATCTTGAAGCAATATCTTCATCTTGTTACGGGGTTCATTATTCTAATTAGCCCTCGCCCCGTTGGGGGGGCATTTTGGCCCCCCTGTGGTTTTTCCTGAATAGCAAAAAAACGGCGGCGCGCAGCGCCACCAAATTTTCAGTACCTTCCCGGGCATCAATTTGACACCTTCACACCAAATTTCAAGTCTTAGGTCACCTTAGGTCAGGAGTTATTGAGGTCAAACTGAGGTCATGTTCGAGCAAAAATGAGCAAAAAACATGCAATCTTGAAACGCTCACCAAATCTACATTTATCAAGCAATTTCAAAGTTCTTTGTATGGTCTAGTAGACAAAAAGCGGCGCTACAAAAATGCTATCTCAGATTTTCAAAATTTTGGGGTTTTGACCCAAAAAAAAAAAATAAAAAAAGTTTTTTTTAGAAAAACTAAAAAAAATCCAAAGTTTTTCCAAATTTCGAAAAAATCGGAATATATGTGATAGTGCCTGCGCTCTTCTATATACATACCAAATTTCAGATCGATATCTCGTTTTTTGGCCAAGTTATAGCGAAAAAATGTTCAAAAATGATGACGTCAAATTTTTGAACTCAATTTTTAGCGATTCTAGACCACGTACGGCAAAACAAAGACCACCATTGAACTCCCCGTGACGAGCTGCATCGATTCGATACCCATTTTATGCAAAAATATTAACTTTGAAATTTGACCTAATTTGACCTGACCTTGACCTAACCTTGACCTGACCTTGACCAAAACGTGACCTAAGCTGGCCCCAAAGGCTGCCTGACCCACATAATCGCATTCGTCATGTAAAATGGACCATAAAACATGTATCACACGACACTTTCATATTGTGACCCCCCCGTGACCTGACCTCTGTGACCTGACCTGGTATCAGTGACCTCAAATAGCAAAATATGTGTTTGAAAAACACTTCCCCATCGATGATTTTCAATGAAATGCATTTTCCTCGATTTTACAACGCATTTCTTGAAATGCCTGTAAACGGTGAAAATTGGACCTTTGACCTGACCTGTGACGTCATCGGTTTGACCTAGGTCAATAAAATTGGGTCACAAGGTAGTTCTCTGATAGGGCTATCCAACACCGTTTGCCGCTTGTCGCTAGGTTGCGTGGTTCTCGAGATCTTAGGGGGGGGGGGGCAAAATGCCCCCCCCAACGGGGCGCGCTGCTCGGCAGAGCCCAACGGGGCGCGGGTTAGGATGCGTCTCACACGCAACCAAGAGTGAAAACTACAACATTGATATTCTAACAATTTAGCTGTTCAAATATTTTTGCTGTTTTGGAACCGATGTAAGATTGAGAGGTAGTATCCAGTAACCACTAACCATATCGTGCGCGCCGCGCTCTGAGAAAGGCTCGAGTCAATAAATAACGGACGAGGAGGGATTGATGCATGTCCTCAATATGTTTAAAACGAGGCAACGTAGCGACGTAGCGAACCCGGTATACGGTACTCGGAAGGTGGCGTAAAGATCTATCAAATATAGGAAGGCCTAGCCTAGTATATTCTAATACATTTTCGTCTTATTTGACAATCCGGATTATCCAGCTCCGTAAGTAATAATTCACCGGACCATTAATATTACTCTCGGCACGGGAGTAGGAATCGGACTTTCCCGCTTAATTTGTCCGCTGACGTCACTAGTGGTGGCCACTGGCCAGCGGGTGTCCGATGACGTCACATGTTATGATATAACTACATTGGTCGGAGGTTTTGTTTATCACTATAGGTGATGGGAGCCGCTGACGAGCTACCGTATATGCGACCTAGGCGTGACGTCTAGGCCAAAGGCATTTAAGCCTAACTCTGAAGTATGAGGACATTTTGGAACATGTAAAATTGCGGAATTGCAGTGGCGTATTCTGCAGCGCGTAACATTAGTGCGCATATATAGATCTCCCAGTGTAAAACTGAACTCCGTCTCTGTATATTATCATCCAAACACATTTTGCGACCCAGGAAGAAGGAAATCGTAAGTCAGACCATCAGACCGACTCACGCGCTTACGGCCTAAACTTCCAAATTCATCTGGTCATTGGCTGGATTGAAGGACATTGGGACAACTTTGGAACAGAAATAGCGGATTATCCAAATGCTGGCAATATGACGTTTGAAAGCCGAGGGCACCACAGCTGTAAGGGCGTGCAGCCGGTTCACGTATATAATTGTACAGCTTGTCAGCTCTGGCAGATAGATACCGAACGAAACGAGAAATGTCGTGTTGCAGATGTCAGCCAGCGGACTTGCAGCGGGGGCCGAAGTGTGAAGGCTGTTTTGAGGCTGGGGTGTTCATTTCTATGCGCTCTCGATGCTGTCGAAACGAATTAAGCCAGCAATTAATCTACTTTCAATTTTTCGATTTTTTTTTTATCCCAGAGAGGCTGGTTACAAATGTCTTCATTGTTTACTTTCATCACCAAAGTTCTGAGAGTCAGCTATCTTTGAAACAACTGAAATAGTGCCCTTCATAATTCGTTATTATGTAAAAATCTCGACGCATGATGATCGAAAAAGCCATTGCATACGAATAAATCCAGGCGAATGTATTCGTCATTTGAATAGGCACATGACGTGGTCAATGCACAGTGAATCACGAAAATGATCTATTGAATACAATGGCAGTGTCCTGGATGCTACAATTATTACATTTTATAAATATGCGAGCACTCGATACCTCAGAAGTTTTTTAAGTCGTCAAAGATGAATCGAAAAAGCAGAACAATGTCTCATACAAATACATTGGCAGAACGCATTCATGTCTAGTGGTAGCAGGGACTGGTTACACAATACACAGAGAGCATATCAAGAAAAGGGCGTGGTGCGACATGAACATAGGCATAATGGGATATGAAAAAATCAATAAATGGCTCTATTGTCGTCGAAACACCACGCTCGTCTTGGGAAGACTGTCGTCGAATAAGATTAAGTCGCGTCAGCTGCCACAAACTCTGCATTCTTAAATAACAGGCGGCTACACTTGTCAAAGAAGCTGCAATCCCAAACACATACACACGAATATGGATGCAGGTTCTAAACAGGTCGACAGTCGATGATCATAGGTGCCGTATCATATGTATCAGTGATCATATGTATACTTAAGCCATGCATCAATAGTAAAAATGAGACATAAATCGCGGTTTTCATTGGTGCAAGGAAATATAACTTGAGAGCTTGCATTACTGTTTGACGTCACAAACCATGCATCATTAAAGCGGTATCGTGACCTTGAAATCAACAGATCTAACTCACTAAGAGACCATATGCATGCTGGAAATGCTGCGGTATTTTTTTTTTTTTGGCCAGGTTGTGCCTCGACTATGAAAATATCCAGGGTCGATAAAATCCACGATCAATTGTTAGTAATTAAAACATTTCAGGCACAAATCGTCACATCACTATCCTACCATAACGGACAATCAATCGACAATCATATCCACTTGAGAGACATAAAGCAATTCGACTCCTCCTTGCCACCTCCCTCTTCTTATATATTTAATCTCATCCGAGTCATTCGATAAAATTCTTACTTACATTTGTTCACACTCCAACAACCCTTGGCGGCGGCTGTTTCGCGCAGCTATTTTACACGTAGCGCGACAAGACCCGGCTATAGCGTCAACTATAGGAATGACTGCAGACGGCAGTCTGGAATCAAGTTGCCAGACTGCGGACTGAGGCTCAGCGCTCGCCGCTCGGCCCTGGACCCTCAGCGCCGACTGCTCAGTGTGCGGGCTGAGGCTCAGCGCTGGCCGCTCGGCCCTTCCCCCTCAGCGCCTACTGCTCAGCGCTGCACGGGACAAGAGTTGAGCAGAACGTTGCTGAGCTCCGCCATGTCTGTCCAGTCGCGGCGCGCGCCGTTTATGTCGATGTTGCGGATGCAGCCCTTGAAGTTGTCCGTCGGTGGCGTTAGAGATGTTCGTGCAGAATCTAAGGAAGGGCGTAACCTTAATGTCAGTCGACGTCAGCTGAGCTAGCACGAACTTCTCTCCTGGATAGACGATAAACGATACACGCCAGATAAAAAACAAACACTTATGTTGTCATTGTCAAACGCAACTATTGCATACGACGATGAGTTTTGGACAGAGGGTTAGTTTTAGTCGCGACACTGACCTGGTAATCCGCCCAGGAAGAGCGGCAGGGCGGCAGTCGGCGGTCGTGCCAGACTGACACTGGACACTCCGTACCGTTCCGGATACTGGTCCACCTTCAGAATCGCCTGAAACGGAGCACTGGTCAGTACAGTGCAGGTGGCCTCGCATCATTTTCCCATGAGTCGTACGAGTCGTACTGCGCCGTGCAGATCTCTGCATTCTTCACAGCCCACCGCGCCCACTTTCTCTGTCGAGCTAACGACTATAACAAAAACAAAACCAGTCGGCGGGATGAGCCATCTCAAGGACGCTGCTCTGCTCGAGTTCGGCCCACAACTTTCCGAGATAGCCGGCCTTGGGTGTCACGGGACATAGTTGAAACATGAGACGGCAATGGCCAGTGGCCACGACAGCAGACGGGCCTGTTAGGAAAACGAGAGGGCGTAACCACGAAAGGGGGCCTTGACGCATTCATGACCTTTTAAGAAACCTTGGTCGTGGCAGAAAACACAAGTGGGATAAATCAAGAACGTAAGCAATAGGATACCTACTCCTGGATGCTGGCCCGAAAGGCTATACGACCCGACCCAGCAAGTGTAGAAGTGATCATCTCGAGCCCTTGCATCGTGCTTACCTGGTCTTTGCCGTAGGTGGCGCGGACGGTGTGCCACCGGTTGTTACAGGCGAGGTATTTAGCGGGGAACGACTGACGGGCCTCGATAGGCTGGCCGGCGCCGTTATCAACGATGAACACCACCTGGCGGTAGAAAAAGACACATTACGCTCTGGGAACTCGGTAAGGTCGCAGGGAGTACCTAAGAAGTGCCAAAGTTGGTGTAAAACGGCCTTTACACTGTATATGCAGCAGAGCTGGGCAAGTGCGTTCCTTTAGTGCGTTCCTGCGTTCTTCCGTACGTACGCACCGCCCTTTTTAGGAACGCAAGAACGCAGGAACGCAAAGTTTTTCAAAGGAACGCAAGTAAGAGGAACGCACCACCCGAAATTTTGAAGCGTTCCTGCGTTCTTGCGGAAACACCCGAAAAATCATATTGCTGCCAATGACCTCTGTGTCAAATGTTTGAATCTCGAGTACGTGTGTTTGCCGGTAGAGGCGCCACTTGTCGGTCGAATCGAGGAAGGCTTGTTTAGATTTAGTGGTGATGTTCACTATTCGATTCGGTTTCAGGCATTAAATGTGTAAAGTAAATATGATAACTTTTACTTAGATACATCTTTCAACTTAACTATTGTTTTTAAGCAGGTCGTTTTTTGTTGAAAACTCTACGGATGATATTGGTAAAACGTATTTCAGATATTCGATTCGGAAAAGAGATGTCGAGTTGCTTTTCGGCCCCGCGTCGCCTGTATTTAGGGCCTTGGCGTCGCCATTCTGGGTATTCTGTGATCGATTCGCCCCGTGTTTGGTTGGGCCCACGCCGCGTGGTTCGGCGGTATTTCTTTGTCCACGACTTCGGTTGTGAAGAACACGCCTGTAGTGTTGGACTGGCGCGATTTGCCTACTTTGTCCGCTACTGATTTTGGTATGATTTGCTGCTTGGCAGAGCCAGAATACAATACGGGTTAATAGTTTGGGACGCAGGAACGCAGGAACGCTAACGCACCGAGCGAAAAAAATTGAGGAACGCTATTCCAGGAACGCACTAACCGCGGCCGGAGGAACGCAGGAACGCTAACGCACTACCGAAAATCGAGGAACGCGCCCAGCTCTGATATGCAGTGCTATGTCCTTGCTGCTCTTCACGGTCAGTAAGGGAGATAAAACGAAATCCAGGATAAACATGCCGTATTTCTGAGTAACTTCCCAATCCCTTGCATCATTGCACAACAAGCATTACATATGCAGGCTCCTAACGGTGCCCCGGATGCTTACATCACCGTCACGCAGCTCCAGTGAGAGCATGGCCCTGCCGTTGTCGCTCAGCAGGTTGACGAGCACGCCGTTCAGTCTGCTGGTCCTGAAGTCGAGCCTGAGGTCGAACTTGTCGCCTAGCTTGACTGCATCGGCTGCAGCATGGAAGGAATACAGATGAGGTGACATGAACATTTTTAACAAAGTGAGGCCAAATTTATTGGGTAAAATATAGACACCTGTACTGTATCTATCTGACTTCTGCTGTTTTCATGTTTTAAATGCTAAGGTCTTTGAGCGCAATTTTATTTGGCTGTTAAACTATCAAAACTCGTAACAGCTCGACATTTGTTACACTGTTGCTGTTTTGGCAATATTCCGTTTTTACCACGTCGTTGCCACTCACCATATTTGGCGAACGCGTCTCCTGCGAAGAAGGTGCCCAGCTCGACCCTGGCCATGCACTGGCCCACCCGGTGGATGATGTTGTTGCCCGAGGGCAGGTCACGCACGCGGCCGTTAATACCCAGCTGTTTCATACAGCCCTTGAAGCCCTCAGTTTTCTGCGGGACAGATGGCTGTGGTTAAAGGTTGACACATGACATTTGACGCTAGTGACTTGAAGGCCATTGGCTCCTCGGGTGCAATTTCCACGTGGCAGCTACTCTATTTTGAGCTCTTTGTCCCAAGCGGGTGGTAAACAACACTTTGCAGTGACATCATGACATTGACATATGAATAGTTGATAGGCCGGTAAAATTCAATTTTCGCGGCAAGTATCGACAACAGGCCCCTCCGCCATTACATCTAGGGCTCCCAATAGCAACCCCTCCTCCACACACCCACACACACTAATGAATAATAAAATCATGCAAACAACCACCACTCACCAGCATCTCCAGTTTCTTATGTCCGGGTATCCGCGAGTCGCTGTCCTGACCCCGCAGTTCGATACCCTGGGGCGGCACCCCGCCGACGTAGAGGGCGCGCCCCACGCGGATAGAGTGCGGACCACGCCTACTAGCCGGCGACGCCCCGCCCACCAGCAGCGTGTACTTGCGCTTCGCCTTGACAAGGGTGACCTGAGAGACGAGGTAGGGGTTATTGGTTAGCATGGCGGTGCAAAGTCTTTAGGAAGGGAGCACAGACCTGCATATGTCAGCAAAGAAAGGTTGTTTAGATTAGGAATTTAAATATGAACAGGAATGAGGATGAGGATAGCACACTTAGAATTGATGATAATATTGTGATGACAATAGATGTGCTGGTTTTGCAATATTATGTAACGTATTTAGTTATATAATATGTCGTATTACATAAAAGGTAAATGACCCTTCAGACATTGTGCCTCCTATTTCGATTACAGGAAGATAAAGGCGAATATGATTTAAAACAGTAACCACGATTATCTGAGCGATAAACAGGCTAAAACGTAGCATTCACCCAGTTCACTACGCTATTTTAAGCAGCTGAGAGGGTGTCGTAACATCAGAAGGTCAGATCCTGCATCCACTGATAACAATCGCAGAGATTCTGCGCTTTTCCAGCCGGGTTAAGTCATGAACCATTCTATCTTCTTCCGTCCTCCCGGTTATTATCCATCCTTTCCTTGCTCGTCTATCCCGTCGCATCGCACTAATTTCTATCACATTTCACATAATGCGTATTTCTGTCTTATTCCTCCTTCTGTAACATCCTATTTCATCTCATCCGATCCCATCCGATCCCAAATCCCACCCCTTTCCCCTCTCACCATTTGCCACTGTCCATCGTTGAGCCGCGCCCCGGCACTGAGCTGCACCGCCCGCCGTTTACGGCGCACCGTTAGGTGCACGGCGCCGTCCTGAAGACGCAGCGTCAGAGACGAGCTGCGCTTCCGAGACGGACTCTGCGGGCAGGGGAGGGGGGGGGGTCAGAGGGAGATATAAGGGTCGCAGGAAGGTCGATGGGTCAGTGGTGCAGAGATTCTGGGGAGGGGGCGGGGGCGGGGGCGGGCTGGTAGTGGTTGAGGTTCCTCATTGCGTAATTGTATATTGTACTGATCACCCGTCGGAAACAGCTGCGATTCTCTGTATGATATATAAACAGTCGCCTCAAATTAGGAGCCTAAGTATTTATTCGCCATTTAATCTCCTAGCAGTTACGTCCGAATTAATGGGTATACAACATATCTACATGGCATGATAAGCCTCAGAAAACCCACCTCCGTGTGCAGCAGCAGTCCGTTCGGATAGAACGTCCGGAAATCAAGCGTAATGTTAAAGTTCCGCCTGAGGTTCTTCCTCTGTACCGGTACAAAGACGTGGCTGAATGGATCGTCTCCCAGCTTCACGGCCCTGTGAAACAAGAAGAGAGGTGTTGTTAACGAAAATTGATGAAACTAGGGTTACCCGCGTGCTCCGCAACGCGAAGGGGGGATTTTTTGACCCGTGGGTATTGGGTTGGTCTGTGTCGATTTGGTTGGTAGATATCCATTCCGTTCGATTGCTTTTTGACGGCCAAGCATTTTGTAAGAAAACAAAAAGATACATCGCATCGAGGTGCCCGTGTCGTATTATCATGCGTTCTACTTTAGAATGATTCGAAAACTGGCGTGAAGTCTTTTGAGGGCCATCGATGAATTTCGCTAAAAATGACAATGTAATGGTTCGGAACATTTGCATTTTTAAGGATACTGTTGCTAATCATGCAAAAATGAAGAGTGAATGTTGGACAGAATTGAATGCTCTATCCAATGGTACCATATTCAATTGCCAAAGGTATCAGGTTATGCAGCAAACCCCGTGTGATTAATAAAGTGGCACAAAATTGACAAACACCATTTTCTCCTGTGATTTGCACCACCTTGATTTGGATCAATCAGCTTTTCACAATTTTGATATGAGAGGCGGTACCTTTCTCTTGCAAATAGGCGTTGATTCAACTCACTCCATTTAACGGTCACCTAAAAATAAAATTAATTCCAAAATCCCTCAAAAATCGCAATTTTTCAAATAAAAGTGCCCTCTCCGGAGCACGTGGCTCGTGCTATCCTCTGCATTGCACACTATTCAATAGCCCGTTCAATTCTGTACACGATGCTGTTTTCCCCGTGCCGGTCGGACCCCTGGTCACCAAGATATTGCACGGGGACCGGACCCGTGTCGGCCAAAATTTGCCGTTTTCGCCCGATTTCGCACGCCGATTTATACATGTAAAGTCTATGACGCGAATTTGCACTTTTTGGGCACGCGCCACGCGCTCCCTATCAATCCGATCGAGCTGAGAACCCTCAAAGGCACGTCGCGCATCCTTGATCTATAAGTTGTGCAAATTTCACCGCGCTAGGTGCAACGGTCTGGCCTGTAGTCCACGCAAAGCACCACCAAGTCGGGACCTCGGTAACGGACAGACGCACCCTCCTCAAATAGTAATATAGACAAGCGGCTGCGCCACTTGCTTTGCTGCGTGGTAGGAGAAAATTGCGGCACCAGCCAATTTGCTTTCGAATGGTGTTTGATTCATGTCGATGTGTCGTCTAGAAGCATAGATATGGACGGAAATGTGAAGAGAATTTAAAAAAGAACTGTTCTGAGGGCGTTGTTGGATGAAATTTGGGTGATACGGGGTCAAGACGGGTCAAAGGGGTCAGCCCCGGTCACTTTGGGTCAGGTCAGGTCACATAGGTCACCTCTCGTCCGCTGGGATCAGCCCGGGCCACTGTTCTGCTTTTGCCTCCACCACTACCCCTACCCCTACCACTACCCCTACCACTACCACTACCCCTACCCCTACCCCTACCACTACATCTACCCCTACCCCTACCACTACTACTACCCATACTCCTACCCCTACCCCTACCCTAACCCCTACCACTACCCCTACCACTACCCCTACTTCTACCCCTACTACTACCCCTACCACTACACCTACCCCTACCACAACTCCTACCACTACCACTACCCCAACCACTACCCCTACCCCTACCCCTACCTCCTACCACTACCCTACCCCTACCACTACCCCTACCACTACCCCTACCCCTACCCCTACCCCTACCCCTACCCCTACCCCTACCCCTACCCCTACCAACACCGCTGGGTCATGTCAGCTCACAGAATAATTGGATCCAATCAGTACTAAAATATCAGACTTAAAGTGTTCCCAGCCCTGTCCCTATTCGTGCCATTCCATTACCCTTACTCGATTTTGTCGGAAATGGCGCTTTGTGGCAAATGTGGCGCATTGCGACAAACGCGGCGCATTTTCACCCGGCGATTGAGCATGCATCCTGGCACCAAATTGCACCCATATCGGACCATATTTGACAAAACTGTGCGATTTGCGGCAAAAATGGCGTCCTTAGATAATTGTGACGCATTGCGGCAAACGCGGTGCATTTGTAAATTCCTATCACAAACTGTACCCATTTAGCGACAATCAACACATTTTTTCGCCACTATTTATTCAAATTAAAAAACTTGCCCATCCGCCAATGCGAGGCACCCGCCACCGATCGGCATGCATTTAGGCCACAAAGTTTGTCGACCCCGGCTCTCAATGAAGATCTACGAACCAATAAAAATTCCATTGGCGTTCTTCCGGCGCCCGCCACGCGCGAACCGTGCACCCCAGCGAGTCGGAACCTAGAAAAGGCGCTGACCCGCTCTGTCACCTATAAGGTGTGCAAATTTCAACCCCCTACGATATACCGTCTGCCCTGTAGGCCGGCTAAATTGAACCCACTACACGGCGTGGCGGACAAACAAACAGACAGACAGATGGATCCTGTTTAAATAGTAATATAGACAAGCGGCTGCGCCACTTGCTTTGCTGCGTGGTAGGAAAAAATTGCGGCACCAGCCAATTTGCTTTCGAATGGTGTTCGTTTCAAATCGATGTGTTGGCTAGAAGCATAGATATGGACGGAAATGTGAAGAGAATTTAAAAAAGAACTGTCCTGAAGGCGTTGTTGGATGAAATTTGGGTGATACGGGGTCAATACGGGTCAAAGGGGTCAGCCCCGGTCGGTTTGGGTCAGGCCAGGTCACATAGGTCACCTCTCGTCCACTGGGATCAGCCCGGGCCACTGTTCTGCTTTTGCCTCCACCACTACCCCTACCCCTACCACTACCCCTACCACTACTACTACCCCTACCACTACCCCTACCCCTACCCCTACCCCTACCACTACCCCTACCCCTACCACTACCCCTACATCTACCCCTACCCCTACCACTACTACTACCCATACTCCTACCCCTACCACTACCCCTACCCTACCACTACCCCTACTACTACCCCTACTACTACCCCTACCACTACCCCTACAACTACTACTACTCCTACGACTACCCCTACCCCTACCTCTACCACTACAATACCCCTACCACTACCCCTACCACTACCCCTACCACTACCCCTACCACTACCCCTACCACTACCCCTACCACTACCACTACCCCTACCCCTACCACTACCCCTAACCCTACCACTACTACTACCCCTACCACTACCCCTACTACTACTCCTACTACTACCCCTACCACTACTACTATCCCTACTACTACCCCTACCCCTACCACTACCCCTACCACTACCCCTACCAACACCGCTGGGTCATGTCAGGTCACAGAATAATTGGATCCAATCAGTACTAAAATATCAGACTTGAAGTGTTCCCAGCCCTGCCCCTATTCGTGCCATTCCATTACCCTTACTCGATTTTGTCGAAAATGGCGCTTTGTGACAAATGTGGCGCATTGCAGCAAACGTGGCGCATTTTCACCCGCTGATTGAGCATGCATCTTTGCACCAAATTGCGCCCATATCGGACCATTTTTAACAAAACTGTTCGATTTGCGGCAAAAATGACGCCCTTAGATAATTGTGGCGCATTGCGGCAAACGCGGTGAATTTGTAAAATCGTATCACAAACTGTTTCCATCGAACGGAAAATCAACACATTCTCTCGCCACTTTTTATTCAAATTAAAAACTTGCCCATCCGCCAATGCGAGGCACCCGCCACCGATCGGCATGCATTTATCCACAAAGTTTGTCGACCCCGGCTCTCAATGAAGATCTACGAACCGATCAAAATTTCATTGGCGTTCTTCCAGCGCGCGCCACGCGCGAACCGTGCACCCCAGCGAGTCGGAACCTAGAAAAGGCGCTGACCCGTTCTGTCACCTATAAGGTGTGCAAATTTCAGCCCCCTACGTCGTACCGTCTGCCCTGTAGCCGTAACAAATTGAACCCACTACACGATGTGCGGACACACAGACTCACAGACTCACAGACGGATTCTGTTTGAATAGTAAGTTAGATATGCAACGCAATGCGCACGAGAGCTATATGCGCTAACTAATATCAGATTCATAAAACAGCCAGGGTAAATAAATACGCTAAGAATTTTAAGAACTTTTTTAAGACTTACGGAAGATCAAAGATACCATTACAAAAGTCATGCTACCTACTTAATCTGCCTTCAAACACGATTTTCGCCGTCTCACCTGGCCTCCAGTGTGACCTGGGACGGTTTGTTACACGATGTCGGCTCCGGCTCACTGGCCATTTCGTGCAGCATCCTACTCCGGAACAGGTCACCGTTACACCGGCCCAGTGTGACGCGTTTGTGACGCAGCGGCGCGTCAAACTGCATCAGACTGGTGGGGCACGGCACGTCAGACGACGTCAGATATCACAGCGGCATGAGACAGAGCGGATTCTACCAGACGGACACTCAGGCCATGACGGGATGATAATGGGCATCACGTTTTCATGGGTTAAGAGTTTCCACGTTTTCCGTTTTCAATGCAACGACTCTCCGATATTTACTGAAAAAATGACACAAATAATGTGTCGCAGCTTATGATGTTGTCAGACATGTCTGAAGCATCCTACAGCGTGATAATTATATTGAAGCCTTTTGCGGTCCTCTAGTCGCTTCACCTGACTCTCTTCTAATATTCACCATCTCACACCGACCTGTCTCCGAATATGACGTCCGAGATGCATCCGTCGAAGGCGGGCGGTGCGGGGGTGCTGAGAGCAGAGGAGAGCTCCGGCGGCACCCCGCCGAGGAACAGACCGCCGCTCTCCGGCGCCTGGACGGTACCGGAGCGGCGCGGCAGCTGACCGGTGGCCACCACGATATCCGACACGCGCATCTCCAGTCTGACGGGAGGGACGGGTCAGGTCAGGGGCGGGTCAGGTCGAAGATAAAACGAGTTGGTGGGTCCTCAAAGACGGTGTTCCGGATAAACGTCCTAAACCTCAGCACAGGCAGTGTCACTTATGAACATACCACATCGTTACCGAACCCCTATGCCCAAAAATGAGAGGACAGCCCTGCTTCCTGCTCAACCTGGCACTGTCCGCTCCGTGACCCTCCGACTCACTGTCTGCGCTGTTTGAGCACGGTGACCGTGTGCGGCCGGCCGTCGTGGAAGGTCCGTTTGGAGGTGAGCACCGCCTCGCCGCCGCCGCCGTTCACACGCAGCTCCAGCTTCCCATCGCTCAGACTCAGCATGTAGTACTCGCTGTTGAGCGGGTTCTCGGCAGGCACCTGTCGGGGAGGTGGAGTTACAAAGAGGTCGGGGGTTCGGATCTGGATAAGGGCATCAATTTGACGGCGTCGATCTCTTAAATCTGTTTCTCATTTGAAATGACATCTCTCTACCCTTCCGCATGGTTTGCTCAATTTGACACAATATCCCAACCCTCCACCAGACATACTTACGATGATTACATCGACGATCAAGCGTGGTCAAGCCGTACTACGCACTACACACAACACGGGTGAACATTGTTCTGGACCACATGGTGCATTTGGTCGTGCCTGTGCACAATGCACATTGTACATATAAATTGTACCCTTTTGTACCCACTTGTACCCATTGTACCCATTGTACCCTTCGTTATGACCAACGTGCGACATCGAGCATTGAAAAAATATATAAACGGATACGCGGTATTGAAAGGCTTGCGAGCTTGTAGTTACATGCATGCAATACAGGGCATAACACATGGCTCAAGTCACGAAACGGAAATGCACTAGACAGTCATTACGAAGGTTGTTAATCGGAGTGGGTGCATTCACAATAGCGATTAGTCATCTTGCATGTGAGAATAATCGTGCATTGTGCATATATATTTTATGCAGAGCTCGCAGACAGCTGAACGCAGCCTATTCCAGCTGAAAACGGTGCCACAAAAACATCATCAGTGCCACTTTCGGCATTCCACATAACGTTGTGCTCCGTTCCACGGGTCGACCAGTGCCGATACATGAGAACATTCAGTGCAGACATGAACAGTACCGGGCTCAGGCCCCTCACCCTTCTCTGTCTCACTGCTCTGTCCTGGTCAGTCGCCGACTCCGGCAGCTGCTTCTCATCCTCCTTCACCAAATCGTGCGACAACGTCACCATTTTCACTCAGTTATCACCAAATGGACATCACAACTACACCAAAGCTCCACCAGTAAACCAAAGCAAGAAGCATGCAGGCTACCACCAAACAACACTTTAAAGTAAGCGCAAAATGTCTAGGGCAAGAGCTTTGTGATAATTAAAAGGGAGTAAGCTGGGTTCAGAATAGTACAAAAAGATAAACTGCAGGCTGCATAAGTTATACATTAGTATGTTCGCAACTAAGAAGAAAAAACTGACAGCAAGCCATCCAGCTTCTGCATTAAGCTAGTAAAAAAGCAACTCTGAAAGAGTCATACGCAAGAGAACTAGTAACTAAAAAAGAAGGGCATTATTTAGCCAGATAAAAATACGACACACAAAACACCACACACCACCGTAAAACCCCACTCCCACACGGTAAAAGCACTCCACAAAACGTCTGTCCTCAAGTACCCAAACAACCAGCTACGATTTTAGTTTGGCAGCCACTACCGTCTACTACCGTGTTTACCTTGGTCGCGAACGTGGAGAGCATCAGCAGGCCGTTTGGCACGGCAGTTTTGAACGTGAAGCCCAGGGTGGCGGTCTTTCTTAGTCGGCGTGAGTTCAGCTCCACGTACCCCTCGCCGTGGAATCCAGCTGTCTTCATTAGCTGCCGGACATACACGTGGGACACATGAGGGAAATCATGGAGCGAAATGTCTTCCAGTGTTGGCTGGCGCATATACTTTGATCGCTAGCAACGGTTTTAAGGAAAAGTGAGTCACAACCAATGCATAGCATTTTACGTTGAAAATATTGCAACAACATTGTCAAGTGCCACACATCGTGATTTCATTTGCACACCATGCCAAGACAATAGACGGAAGCTAGGTTATATCTCAAGGCTCTCAGTATACCGCCCTCATTCCTATCGTAACTCCTCCGCTCACCCACCACTCCATCTAACTCCTCTCAACTACCGGCTACACTCCCGTCGAACTCCACTTACCTGCCGTCCACACTCGCGCGCCACTCCGGTCGAGTTGCCGACCAGGGGATTCTGGGCCGTCTGCCCGACCTGCAGATCCTCCACGCAGCCCAGCAGTGGCACGAAGGTCACATCCGGCCAGCGGGCGCGGTCAAAGTCGGGCGGCACGCCGCCGAAATAGAGCCGGGAGGAGTCCAGGCTGAGCTGGTAGCGCGGACGGCGGTAGCGCGAGCGGCCAGACGACTCCGGGTGGAAGGTGCCCTCCTTGAACTCCTCGCCGTTGTTGATCTTCAGACCGACTGAGGGCGAGGCAGGGAGTTTATAGTTATCGACTTCTTGGGCAATATTATCGCACGATCGAACTGCACCCAAGATAGAAGCAAAATAGGTGTCTCGATGCAAATACATTCATGTTTGGACAGTCACTAGCCAGATGCATGTTAGGGCGAAATTCTATATCCTATCTACTATACTATTTGTAGAATGAAACTCTGTCTGTCTGTGTGTTTGCACGGTGCAGAGGGGTGCTTTGACGCCGTGCGCAGGTCAAACGGTGCGGTCGATGGGGTTGAAATTTTCACAGCGTGTTTATGACGTCACGCGCACGTGCAGTGTCGAGGTTCGAGTCTCGGGGGGTCGATGGTTCGCACGTGGCACGCCCTGGAAAAAGGTGCATTTTCTCCAAATTTGCTCGGTCTTCAAGTCATCGGCAGCCGGGTTCGACGAACTTTGCAACTAAAATGCATGACGATCGGCGGCGGGTGCCTCTCATTTGCAGATTGGTAGCATTGGTAGCTTATTTATTTTGATAAACAGAGGCGAATGAAGGTGTTCATTTTCGGTAAATAAAGACAGTTTTCAATGCGCTTAACCGAATGCACCGCGTTTGCCGTAGTGCGCCACATTTGTCACGAGGTGCCATTTTTGCTGCAAATCGCACAACTTTGTCAAATATGGTCCGATAAAGGAGCAATTCGGTGGAAGGATGCATGACAAAATGACAGGTACAAATGCGCCACGTTTGTCGCAACGCGCCACATTCGTCACAAGGCGCTATTTCCACCAAATATGATTAAGAATGATGGAATTACACGAGTAGGAGCACGGTTAGGAACTCTTTTTTTTAGTTGATCAGTTTATCTGATGGTCTGTGACCTCAAATGACCCAGTGGTAGTGGTAGTGGTAGGGTAGTGGTAGTGGTAGTGGTAGTGGTAGTGGTAGTAGTATTGGTAGTAGTATTGGTAGGAGTATCGGTAGGAGTAGCGGTAGGGGTAGTGGTAGTATTAGGGGTAGTGGTAGGGTAGTGTTAGGGGTAGTAGTATGGGGAGTGGTAGGGGTAGTGGTAGGGGTAGTAGTAGGGTAGTGGTAGCCGGTAGGGGTAGTGGTAGGGGTAGTAGTACGGGTAGGGGTAGGGGTAGTGGTAGGGGTAGGGGTAGTGGTAGGAGTAGTGGTAGTGGTAGTGGTAGGGGTAGGGGTAGTGGTAGGGGTAGTGGTAGGGGTAGTGGTAGGAGTAGTGGTATGGGTAGAAGTAGAATAAGTGTGGTACAGACCGATCCAATGTGACGTGGGGACCTATACGACCTGGCCTGACCGAAGGGGACCTGGCCTGACCCAGTGTGACCAGGGATGGCCAAGTTGACCTGACTTGACCCCATACCTATGACCCAAATTTCATCCAACTAAGTTATTATGTTCAAAATTTTCCTCTGTACGTTTCCGTCCATATCTCTGCTTACAGACGACAGATCAATTCAAATCAAACACCATTCGAAAGCAAATTGGCTGCTGCCGCATTTTATGGCTACGCCGCGAAGCAAGTGGCGCAGCCGCTTGTCTATATTACTATTTGAGGAGGGTGCGTCTGTCCGTTACCGAGGTCCCGACTTGGTGGTGCTTTGCGTGGACTGCAGGCCAGACCGTTGCACCTAGCCCGGTGAAATTTGCACAACTCATAGATCAAGGATGCGCGACGTGCCTTTGAGGGGTCTCAGCTCGATCGGGTCGATAGGGAGCGCGTGGTGCGTGCTCAAAAAGTGCAAATTCGCGTCATAGACTTTACATGTATAAATCGGCGTGCGAAATCGGGCGAAAATGGCTAATTTTGGCCGACACGGGTCCAGTTCCCGTGCAATATCTTGGTGACCAGGGATCCGACCGGCACGGGGAAAACAACATCGTGTACAGAATTGAACGGGCTATTGAATGGTGTGCAATGCAGAGGATAGCACGCGCCACGTGCACCGGAGAGGGCACTTTTATTTGAAAAATTGCGGTTTTTGAGGGATTTTGGAATTAATTTTATTTTTAGGTGACCGTTAAATGGAGCGAGTTGAATCAACGCCTATTTGCAAGAGAAAGGTACCGCCTCTCATATAAAAATTATGAAAAGCTGATTGATTCAAATCAAGGTGGTGCAAATCACAGGAGAAAATGGTGTTTGTCAATTTTGTGCCACTTTATTAATCACACGGGGTTTGCTGCATAACCTGATACCTTTGGCAATTGAATATGGTACCATTGGATAGAGCATTCAATTCTGTCCAATATTCACTCTTCATTTTTGCATAATTAGCAACAGTATCCTTAAAAATGTAAATGTTCCAAACCATTACAGTGTCATTTTTAGCGAAATTCATCGATGGCCCTCAAAAGACTTCACGCCAGTTTTCGAATCATTCTTGTTGTGAAATGCGACCACCTTAGTTTGTGAGCTCCAGCCGGGCCGGCCGGCGACGCGCGCGCGAGTTGTGAGCCGCTGTGGACACGTGACCGGCCGCCTGCGGGCGAATTGGGCGGAGCCGACTGCGGCGGCGGCCGCTGATCAGCGGTCAGTTGGCGTCCTGATCTCGAACCCGTAAGGTACGGCCTTTTGCGGCTGATCTTTGCACACGGGTAGAGTGACGGCGCGACTCAGGCACCGGGAGAGTGCGGCCTTGAGGCTGACTCCTTGCACCCCGGTTGCTACCGCTGGTCGGCTAGGCGTCGGGGAGGGGTGGAGGGTCGGCTATCGGTGGCGGCGCGGGGTAACCCGGTGCCAACCCCAAATTGGAACCTTTGTGGTGTAGTGTATTTCTGGATCGGATATCGGTAAGGTCAGCTAATGCTGTTTAACTCCGACAATTGTCGTTTAAAGGGTGGCTAGTCACGGGTTGTATTTGATTGTGCTTATCATCACAATATATCGCGGCACTTCAACGCATTTCTTTAAGTAGTCGGTTGAAACTTACAGTCGATCCGGTCTTAGGTTTTGTCTGAATACAGTCCACACTTTTATACACGGCCAGAGTCGCAACATAGTCCTCCGGGGGCCGGATGTAACTGTACCTTTGGAATTTTTCGATCAGTCATTGTCGGTCAGTAACTGCTTGTTTTTTTTTAGACTCCCTTTCTGAACATTGCCTGTCATGGAGGAATTGATCGCCACTAGGACTAGACTTCGCTCAAAGGCCACAAAGCTCTGCAACGATTTAAAGGCTTGTCGGCAGGAGGATCAAAGATCCTTGGATCAGGATCAGCTGGCATTGAAAATCCACCATGTCGAGAAGCTGCTGGGCGAGCTTCAAGGCACCCAAATTCAGCTTGATAAGGTAGGGCAATCGGATGAGACCAGCCATATCCAGATGATGGAGGATGAGATATTTCTGAGTTCTCGAGTTCTAGCCCGCCTCGAGAAGGCTGCCGAGGCCAGGGGCGTGCCTGTGCCGGGGAACTCGACAGCGAACTCTGAATTCAAATCCTCTCTGGCTGTCAAAATCCCAGTTTTCGGTGGCGACATCATGAAATGGTCAGAGTTTTGGGAGTTGTTTATGGTCTCAGTTCATCAGAATCCTGGTTTCGAAGATGTTCAGAAGTTTGTCGTGCTGAAATCGCATTTAGCTGGTGCAGCCCTTCAGGCCATTCAGGGTATCCCAGTCTCTGGCAACGGCTACGCCGAGGCTGTGGCAGTTCTCAAAGAGAGGTTTGACCGAAGTGAGCTCTGCCGAGAGACGCTCATGAGAGAGCTTTTGAACATGCCTGCAGTCCGCTCCAATGATCTGAGGGCCCTGCGGTCACTGACGGACCATATCGCTGCCCACACCAGAGCCTTAAACTCACTCGGTGTCACATCAGACAGCTTCTCTTCACTCTTACTGCCCATGGTTAAAGAGAAGCTTCCAGAGAGCTGGCGAGTTGAGTGGGCAAGACAGGGAAAAACACAGTTCGCTGATTTTCTTGAGTTCCTTCAGCAGGAGATACGGGTGCAGGAGTATGCGAGAGGTGTAGCGGCACCAGATGCTCCCTCAAGGTCTCCAAACTCCGCGGCCTCTGTAGCTGCCACCCTGAATGCACAGCGCATGCCTCGCGCTTCAAACAAACTGTGCCCTGCTTGCTGCAGTGGAACGCACCCGCTCCCACAGTGCCGATCATTCTTGAAAATGGATCCTGAGGCTCGGTGGAGAGTTGCGTCGGCATCAATGGCCTGTTATTGTTGCCTAATAGGGGGACATCGCGCTCGAAGCTGTCGGGCTGGAGGCTGCAGCGAATGCGGACGGAATCATCACGTCCTGCTGCATCGCCACTCCGATGCCCACTCTCCGCAGTATCCGGGTGTTGGGGTGGCACCCACGACTGGTGCAGATGTGCCCTCGCCGGCTGGTCTGCGGCCGAGGGGTGCAGAGGTGAGGCCCCAGGACGGCCACTTGGAAACAGGACAGCGTCCATCCAGCTCAGGCCCTCCGCAGCCCGCTGCTGCTGCGCAGGCGCCGCCGGTGGGTCCGTTCAGGCCAGAAACGGTCCCAATCAGCACGGCTGGGGCAAGGACAGAATCACGTGATTTCAATGTCGGACGGCATCGTTACCAGGCTGGTGGGGGGAACATTGGCAATTGTTTCTTCCAGACAGCGCTGGTCAGGGCCGGTGATCCCCAGAACGGTCGAATGGTTCGGCTTCTCTTGGACGGGGGATCAGACTCCTCTTACATACGCAGCTCCCTGGCAGAGGAGCTTGGACTGCCGGTCGTTAGCACCGGGACCTTCTCCTGCATCGGTTTTCAGGAGAAGCTCGAGGAGCCACGGGAATACGACCGAGTCAGGATCGATTTGAACAGCCGGTTCGATGACGGACATGTGACTATTGACCTATGGAGCACGGAACGGGTGTGCTCTCCCCTTCCGGTGCCGTCCCTCTCGAAGTTGCCCGGTCAGATGCCCGAGATGATGGCCGATGATTTTAAGGGAGGTGAGATTGACCTGCTAATCGGTATTGACAACCTCTATAGAATCGTGCAGTGGGAGCAAGTCGGTGTGGGTGACGGACTTCGGGCTGTCGCCACCGTTTTCGGCTACGTGATGCACGGCTGCCACACGCACAGTGACAGATGTGAGGATTCTCTGTGCCGAAGGACGGAGAATCTCGCCATGAGGACGACTGCTGGAAGACTTGGCGAGGAGAGCGTCGGTCCACATGACGGCGAGATGACGGACATGCTGGTTGATCCTGTCCTCGAACCGGGGAGAGGACTGACGGTGACCGACTGCGTGCCGGCGTCCCATAAGGAACCACCCATCACTGAAACGGGGGGAGGACGGACAGTGGCCGACTGCGGACTTGCGTCCGATTCGGAGCTGTCTCCGGCCTCAGACGGTGTCGCGTCTCTACATCGAGGGGCTCGATATGACAGAGTTGATCGGGTCCGGCGGCGGCGCCGTCGCCATCGTCGTGTCGATGCTCATTTGACAGATTGCTGGAAGCAGGCCGTGTTGCGTGCCTGGACTCTGTCGCCGCGAGGAAGACCTACCCGTTTGCCCAAGGTGGGAGACGTGTTCCGAGTTCATAGCGACAGGCACCGCGGTCGCTGGCCTTTGGTCCTGGCTGAGCGGCAGATCTCTGGGCCTGGCAGGCACGGACGAGCGGACAGGAGATGTGTTCCGGACAACTAGGTGGCCAATGAAGAAGCTGAATCCTTAACTGTTTTGATGATTCTAGACTGAACAGCAGTTGTATTGAAGTGTTTGAAAAATGTAAATGGCCTTATGAATGTATTTATGTGTGTCCTGACCTGAAATGACATTTATCGGGTTGCGCTTGACTTTTCTTTCTTTTTGCAACAGACCCTGTCCTGACGCGTGAGCTCTCGGTCAGCGAAGCAGCGGCATGGTGCTCTGCGGTGCTTCACCGGAACGGTCTTTTGGACTGTCCGGTCACAAGCAATGGACAGATGGACCGGTACGGCGGCTGGACGGTGACACGGCGGCCGGACGCTGATCGCACGAAGACCGGGCGCACTGGACTTTCCCGGAATGGCTCAAGCTGAAGCCAGGCGAAGCGAGTGCGGTGTGCGTGTGCCTAGCTGGACACTGGGCAGTGACGTGCAGTGACGATGTGTACGTGATGCGGCGGACGCGGTGCTGACGTCACGGTGATATCGGTGATTCATTGCGTCCAAGATGGCAGTTCATTTTGTGTTGAAAATTTGTTAATTTTCAAGGGGGGAGTATGTTGTGAAATGCGACCACCTTAGTTTGTGAGCTCCAGCCGGGCCGGCCGGCGACGCGCGCGCGAGTTGTGAGCCGCTGTGGACACGTGACCGGCCGCCTGCGGGCGAATTGGGCGGAGCCGACTGCGGCGGCGGCCGCTGATCAGCGGTCAGTTGGCGTCCTGATCTCGAACCCGTAAGGTACGGCCTTTTGCGGCTGATCTTTGCACACGGGTAGAGTGACGGCGCGACTCAGGCACCGGGAGAGTGCGGCCTTGAGGCTGACTCCTTGCACCCCGGTTGCTACCGCTGGTCGGCTAGGCGTCGGGGAGGGGTGGAGGGTCGGCTATCGGTGGCGGCGCGGGGTAACCCGGTGCCAACCCCAAATTGGAACCTTTGTGGTGTAGTGTATTTCTGGATCGGATATCGGTAAGGTCAGCTAATGCTGTTTAACTCCGACAATTGTCGTTTAAAGGGTGGCTAGTCACGGGTTGTATTTGATTGTGCTTATCATCACAATATATCGCGGCACTTCAACGCATTTCTTTAAGTAGTCGGTTGAAACTTACAGTCGATCCGGTCTTAGGTTTTGTCTGAATACAGTCCACACTTTTATACACGGCCAGAGTCGCAACAATTCTAAAGTAGAACGCATGATAATACGACACGGGCACCTCGATGCGATGTATCTTTTTGTTTTCTTACAAAATGCTTGGCCGTCAAAAAGCAATCGAACGAAATGGATATTTACCAACCAAATCGACACAGACCAACCCACGGGTCAAAAAATCCCCCCTTAGCGTTGCGGAGCACGCGGGTAACCCTAGTATCTCCTATTAATCATAAGGAGGCTCAATCTAGCTAAGCTGCAATGAACAGAGAATCAAAATGACAAATTTAATTTTGCGGTCTTGCCATACATCTTGGAACTGCGCTCAAGCAGCCTCTGAGCTTTGTATTAGGTCCCCGAGCACCGGCAACACTCGACCGAGCTCTGTACGGGTCTCTCCGCCCCTCACCGTCTCCGCCTGACTTGGTGGCCTCGATGGTGGTCCGTTCGCCGGTGTTGTAGCGCCCGTTGGACGTCACCACCAGGATGTCACTCTTGTTGAAGCCGACCCGTGTCACGATCTGTCCGTCACGCAGCTCGATACTGAAAAACTGGTCCTGTGGGCGGCAGTGAATACATGTGAGACGATGTGCTTTAAACTTTGTTCACTGCCAGTCACACATTTTGGCGATTATCTCTACTTTTTCGAGTATGTATCGCCAAAGAGTTACAAAATGCATTCACCCCATTGCAGTTAGTCATGGGACTTTTTATAGAAAAATGTTTTGCAGTTAGCACATTTGTAATACCTAGATACTACACATAGGACTCAAAAACACGTAGGAGTGTTGCGATTATAGTGATCAACCATACGGGGATTTATAAATTAAAATCGCAACTTAACTTGCCCGTCCCGTCCCATTACCTTCTCCTCATTGACAGCCAGGAACAGCAGGGCGTCCTCGTCGAACGTTTTGACGTTGAGCACCACCGAGTAGAGCATGTTCTGCACGCGCCCGGTGGGGTTCAGTGCGGGCAGCTCGGCGTAGCCGCTGCCGCTGAAGCTGTACCACGACGAGCTGGCCAAGATGCCGTCCGAGCTGTATTGGAAGGGTAGGAGGGAGGGGTGAGAGAGTAGTCAGTCTTATGTGCGATGACGTGAAAACACTTGCTCGTGGATAATACAGCGTGGTTAAATTTACATATAATGGCATGACACATTTTATTGCAATTAACTGCATGCGACAAAATACCTTTTTAATCTGGAACACGATTCGAAACCATAAAGTTTGTCAATCCCCAAACACTGACCTGGGCCCGGCACGGCAGGCGCCGCATCCCTCGTTGTGGGCGAAGTTCCACAGTCCCAGTGGATGACCGTTCACAGTCGCCTCGTACAGACAGCCGGCGAATCTGGCGGAGAACACGGGGAGTCACGGTGTTAGGGAGGAAGAAGAAAGAAAGCCGGGGGGAGAAAGGGAGCTAGATAGAGAATATGCCTCAGTTCGTTGGTATTTAATTATCAGAACCAAGGCACCTCTACATTATCCAAAACCCAGTCACAAAAAACGTCCCCCCTTCCGCCTCCCCTCCGCTCACCGTCGCGTGGTGGTGCCGACGTCAGGCCCGTCGGACGGCAGACCCACGTACACCCGGTCTGACGAGGTCAGGTCCATGATGGACAGACCGTCAGAGGTCGAGTTGGACACGGTGTCGGGCAGATTGCCGCGGTCACCGGCCGCCGGACGAACAGAGAGACGACCCAGGCTGCCGATCCTGTGTGCGGAGAATGGGTCAGACAATGTATGGCCAGAGTGTGATCGGAAGCAGGTCCAGTTGGTACTGATACAGTGACTTCTACTTCAGACCACAAAACGAAGAAGCACTTGGACTTATTCAACGATAATCTTATCACTGCCATGCAAATCGTTTGGTAATAGTTTTAATTAATTAAATGCGCACTATCAGCACTGATTGTCTCTAATTAATCAATCGAATCTCTATTTTATCTGCTTCTATATGACAAAACATTTTCATATGTTCAGTTTCGACCGACCGATTCACGCACCTCTCTGCGTCGATGATGTACCAGTGCTGGTCCTTCATCAGCTGCTCGCTGTTGGTCTTGAGCCGCCGCGGGTGCTCCACCATCCGAGTCTGGCCGCCGTTGTTCCACAGGAAGCGGATCCGACGGTTGACCATCTCCAGAGCCATAAAGTCGCTCTGAAATTAATATAGAACCGTGAAATTTGGACTAATAAACATGGCAGGGTCGCAGGTTTAAGTTCAGGTGCGTGTAACAAGTCAGAATGCTATAAACGGAGACGTTTCTTTCCAGTAAATCTCTGACGTTTTGTTGATGACTTTTTATGAAAACAATCTATTTTAAACAAACCCTATAAACACAGAGAAGAATAACTGTCCGGCTGCCAGCATTTCTTCCGAAAACATCCTCTTGGTCTGTTCCATCTACGCCTTTACTCGACGTATTCACATAGCTCGTGAACCACTATCTGCATTTTCACCCAGCCGCCGCCCTGACCTCAGTCTTTGACGGCAGGTAGAGCAGCAGGGCGTCCCGCGTCTTGGGGTCCGAGATGGCGTAGTTGAGCCGCACGGAGGAGGCGGTGCTGGGCTGCAGCTGCGGCGCCTGGTACGTGCGGCTGCACAGACCGCCAGGCGCTCCGCGCTCCGTCAGTGAGACCCGGATCTGAGCGGAGGGCCATCAGGGTGGGGGTCAGGGGGTGGCGACGCGACTAGGCCGAGCCTGGTGTAATTACTGATATAAATTAAACAGCTGCGTTACGGGAAGCATATATCTTACGACGAATACCGGAAGAAAGCGGCAAGAAAACGCGTTGAGTCGATTTTCCGTGATGCAGAAAGTGCCAAATGTGACGAATAAGAAGCAAAGCAACGGCAAGGATTCAATAATGTTGAGAAAAAAAATATTCGACGGAATCTAAACTGAAAGCAACTCCAATCTTCATACGTCAAGAGCAACGGTGAACTGCTCTGGAAACGCAATCATTCGTTTCCAGGTAAAACACTCCATACCGCTCAGAACCACTCACATTGGTCGCCGCCTGGCGCGCCTTGAGGATCTTGTTTTTGAGCTGGCGCAGCTTCAGTCCGACGTTGTCGCTCATCTCGCGGAGTTCGTCCACCTGATCCTCCACCTCCATTGCGCGTATGTCTGCCTCGGTGATACTCAGACGGGCCGCGGACACTGCGGGAAGGAGGGGGGGGGGGGGTGACCGTGGTGACTACAGGTGATACTGTGGTGTATTCAGAGATTGTCGGACAATTGTATGGCAACGTTATACGGACAGCTGAGTGGATTAGCATGGGTTAAGGCATAGATAACAAGGTAATTTATTAGGCGAAGGAAATTGCTACTCGAAATTGAATATCACAAAAGTGAGTAATGAAACACAAACTATACTATTACCTCTGGAACCATTTCAAATAACAACATTCATAAAACGAGTGAAACTTTCCTTTTCTGTCGTATCGGGGTAACACCAGCCCTCTTCCCGAGGACTGGCGATTGAACGCTTCTCAGAGCTGAAATGTCTATTCACTGGCCCTATACGCCGCCTCTCCCAGCCTCCACTCACGCATGGTGCTGAAGTTGCCCATGCTCTCTGCGCCGCCGCCCTGCACCAGTTCCATGCCGGGTCGGAGCACGGTGTCGATATTGTCCTCGATCCTCTGGGTCCGCTCATCCACCTTTGAGACGGCGCTGAGCACGGCCATGGCGTCCGCAGAGGCGGCGCGGGCGGAGTTGGCCAGCTCTGTGGGAGGGGTGGAGGGTGTACGAGTTAGTGGGGTGCGAGAAGGGGAGAGAGAAGAGGCAAAGAGGGCGGGTATGAGAAAGGAATCTCGAAATCTAAATATAATAAAAAACCTTTGTCAACAAGATAATTTACCCATGAAGTAGGTACAAAACAAAAAACATTTTAAACGCTCACCATCCACGTTGTTGAGCGCCAGCTGGGTCCGAATCTCCTCGTTCTGTTCTCGCGTGGCCCGCAGAGTTCCATTGATGATGTCGATGCCGGCGCGGCTGGCTGCCATCTTGCCAGATAAAACCACCACCTGGTGAAATGGGAGGCGGCTGTGATCACGGGAAATGTACGGCTTGATAAATGTCGAAATTATTATTTTTGGGAAATATTGATCAATGATGGCGACCACAAAAAAATCGTTTTCGTCAATAGCAGTTCGTGAAGCAATGCAAGCTGGAGACAGTCTCATTGCAATTTAAGTTGTCGGACCAATCACGGCAAGATGAGAACCAGGGAAGCCCACCTGATGTCGGAGGTCTTCTGCCTGTTCGAAGAGCACCTCGGACTTCGTTTTCGCCTGGGTCCCCAGAGAGACTAGGGAATCCGTGTCTCTGGGATATGCCTGAAAGCCGAGCGAGAAGATGTAGGTACTAATCAGTTGGGTACTGCTCTAAACCATAGATAAAACAAGGTGCAAAACTTTTAAACATTTAACAGCAAACGCAATGATATTGATAGGCAAAACAAAACATCGCTATGAACCAAGCAAACACAAAGACCAGCTATATATTCATAGCCTCTGTGAGTTTTGCCGTCTGATATTAGCACAGTGTGAACTGTGAAACCCACCTGTTCGTAGGCCCTCTGTCCAGCGGCGCTGGCGTCCTCCGCTGCCTGACGAGCAGAGTTGAGCGCGTCCACGATTTTCTGATAGGCCTCGGCAGCCTGCAGTGAAAGATCCGCTTCCTGGCGGGTCGCCTGGAACGAACTGGCAAGGGGAAAAACAGGTCGTGGTTAGAAACAGCGTAAAAGCTTAGATTACGGCCGATAGATGGCACTAGTAGTGACGCCTGAATGATGCTGCGCCGCATGGTGCGTATAATCGTCAATAGATGGCGGGAGCACTTGGCGCCTGAGTGATACTGTGCCGCATGGTTCGTATGATTCCTATTAGATGGCGGTAGTAGTTACGCCTGAATGATGCTGTGCCGCATGGTGTGGTTATTGCTCCATATATGGCGGTAGGGTTGCGCCTGTAGGTTAGGGTGTCCCAAATTTCACGAAGTTTTCCAATTCACTTAGGATACACCGGGATCCCGTTCCTTGGTTCATTTGAACCTCACACACCAATTTATAGAGTAAACTACCGGTAAACAAGGTTGCCGCTAGTGCTCTGAAGTTTTATTTGTATTTTGGTGTTATATGATAATGCAGCGTTGTAGTCTCCGAAAGCAAAATGGGACATCTGTGTAAGCAACGTAGCAATGTTACCTTCTCCGATGCTCAGTGATGCTCAGATCTCACGCACATTGCACACTGATGAAGATCCGGGTATATGCACGCATACACAGGTGTGTAACCGTGTGTGTGTGCGTACCCGTATGCGTCCGTATGTGTGTGTATGTGTGTGTGGGTGTGTGTGTGTGTGTGTGTGTGTGCGCGCGCGCGACTGCGTGCGTGCCTACCGGAGAGAAGGCAATGCCCGTTTTAATCTTGGTGTGATTGATTTCATGTGCCGATGATTTTGTTCAGGAGTAAGTGATCAAATACAGGTCTCAGGTTGGTGCTTCAAATGTCTCGCTTCAGATCGAACCGTCTGCGGCAATGGCACACCACATAGACGCAGATTGAACGGAATCAAATTGATATTGAAGCTATGGGTATTACCTTCGCCGTACCCTGCTCTGAGACCGTCTACGCGTAACATCACTGTATCCTGCTCCGAGATTTGTATAAACAAACATCATACCCTGCTCTGAAAACTGTCTAAAACATCGTACCCTGCTCTGAGATCCGTCTAAAACATCGCACCCTGTTCTGAGATCCGTCTTTAACATCGTACACTGCTCTGAGATCCGTCAACAGTATCGTACCCGGCTATGAGATCCATCTAAAACATCGTACCCTGCTCTGAGATCCGTCTAAAACATCGTACCCTGTTCTGAGATCCGTCTTAAACATCGCACACTGCTCTGAGATCCATCTAAAACATCCTACGCTGCTCTACGATCCATCTGCACTATACAGTCTACACGTAACGTCATCACACCCTGTTATAATATCTGTCTACCACTGACCCATGTAGTCCTTCGTGTGACCGCAAAACGACCTGTGCCACGCCACCACCTGGGCCAGCGCCTGCGGCTGGTCCTCATCTTCCGTTCTGTCCATCAACTCCTGTGCCAGCTTCACTCCGCCATCCGCTCCATCATTTACAACTGCCAGACTGTTGTGAATAATGGAAAAGAATTGACGTATTTGTGAACTGCTTTGTAACCTGAGATATTTTCCCATTTTTTGACAGGCTCTTGCAACCATTCGAGGGCGCAATCGTCCAGATTCTGGATGAGTGACTATGATTCTCATAGCGGGGTGCAACCATTCAAGGGGGCACTCATCAAGATTCTGGATGAGTGCGCCCTCGAATGGTTGCAAGAGCCTATCAAAAATGCAAAAGTATCTCAGGTTACAACGCAGTTCACAAATACATCAACAGTCTGGCAGTTGTGAATAATGGAGCGGATCGCGGAGTGAAGCTCGCACAGGAGTCGATGGACAGAACGGCAGATGAGGACCAGCTGCAGGCGCTGGCCCAGGTGGTGGCATGGCACAGGTCGCTTTACGGTCACACGAAGGACTACATTGGTCTGTAGTGGTTAGACAGATATTACAGCAAGGTGCGATGAGGTTACGTGTAGACTGTAGACTAGAGTGTAGATGGACCTTAGAACAGCGTAGGATGTTTTACATGGATTGCAGAGCAGTGTACGACGTTTAAGACGGATCTCAGAACAGGGTACGATGTTTAAGACGGATCTCAGAGAAGAGTACGATGTTTTAGACAGTTTTCAGAGCAAGGTATGATGTTTGTTTATGCGGATCTCGGAGCAGGATACAATGATGTTACGCGTAGACGGTCTCAGAGCAGGGTACGGTGAACTTAATACCCACCGCTTCAATATAAATTTGATTCCGTTCAATCTGCGTCTATGTGGTGTGCCATTGCCGCAGACGGTTCGATCTGAAGCGAGACATTTGAAGTACCTACCAACCTGAGACCTGTATTTGATCACTTACTCCTGAACAAAATCATCGGCGCATGAAATCACTCACACCCAGATTAAAGCGGGCATTGCCTTCTCTCCGGTAGGCACGCACGCAGTCGCGCGCGCACACACACACATACACACATATGGACGCATACGGGCACGCACACACACAGTTACACACCTGTGTATGCGTGCATATACCCGGATCTTCATCAGTGTGCAATGTGCGTGAGATCTGAGCATCACTGAGCATCGGAGAAGGTAACATTGCTACGTTGCTTACACAGATGTCCCATTTTGCTTTCGGAGACTACAACGCTGCATTATCATATAACACCAAAATGCAAATAAAACTTCAGAGCACTAGCGGCAACCTTGTTTACCGGTAGTTTACTCTATAAATTGGCGTGTGAGGTTCAAATGAACCAAGGAACGGGATCCCGGTGTATCCTAAGTGAATTGGAAAACTTCGTGAAATTTGGGACACCCTACTGTAGGTAGGCTGTGCCGCGTGGTGCATACAATTCTCAATAGATGGCGGGCCGTGTTGCGCCTGAATGATGCTGTGCCGCGTGGTGGTGTCTTTATTTCCCAATAGATGGCGGGAGTGGTAACGCCTGGATGCATGCTGCACCGCACGACTTCAAATAGGAACGGACGATTATCGCGACAAAAATAGGAAATGTAACGAATATTGAGTAACTATTTTAGCAATAGATGATAACAAGCGGTAACTGCATTAGTTACCAACAGATGATAGCGGTGTTGACAGACAAAATAACGATTTTTCGTTGTTTCCGAGTAAGCCGTCATCCCTCGACTGGCTCTGCCCATCCAGTGCCAGTGCCCATCATGTTCCAGCACCATCCCCGCTCCCGTCTCACTCACCCCTCCAGCCGCTCGGCCTGCGCTGTCAGCGTGGCGGCGTGCACCTGGGCCGGCAGCACGTATCGGATGCGGTAGTCCTCACTGAGCTCACTGAAACTGTCTGTTCGCCGCCGCAGTCGCTCCTCGGCCCGTTCCACCTCAAGCTGTCGGTCACGGAGGTCCTGAGAGGATGGGAGGAGAGGTTAGGTGGGTGATAGCCGAGTAATTATTAATTCTGAAAACTGTTAGTATTGACGACAACAGCCTTCAAAATGAATGAATCTAAAAGGTGGCGATCAGCTGGCATCATTAGCTAGAAATTCATGCTATAAATCGGCTTGATGTGTGTAAATAACCGTGTCATTTTAACGACAAAATCGATTTTATCCCTCCTCCCTTCGTTATGCTTCGATATCTCATTTCCGTCATTCAGCTCCTATCCCAGACTCACGACGAGATCTCCCTTGGCGGCGTCATACAGCAGACGGGTCTCCGCCAGCAGGCTGGACGTGTTGGTCAGCGTGCCGTCACACATGTTACCCAGGTCCTTCACCGCCAGCTGGTCGTTTCTCAGTTCCGTCAGACGCTCCCGCAGCGCCGGCAGCAGCCGCTCCAGCTGCGCCATGGGAGGAAACGCGGTCAGATGGTTGATGCATTCATAATGTATCTGCTAGCTGGTGTTTTCTAAGCTTTCAGCAATTTTAGACAGTTACATAATTTATGATCTAAAGAATACAAGGTATCTGGGAAATTTGCAGAGGAACCACCACCCCAGGACTTGGTCCACCGTCTCCCATTGCACCACCAGTTCCCGCGCGTCCCGAAGCGTACCTCCGCTATCGGCTGTCGAACTCCGTCAGCCACCAGTCTGGTCATCTCATCCAGCCGTTCACTCAGCCGCTCCAGCCGCTCCCTGGTGTCATTCAGCCGGCCGGGGCTGCTGCTCAGCATGTCTCTCAGCCGGCTCAGCAGGGTGGCGGCGCTCAGCAGCTCAGCCTCAGCAGCAGCCATGGCGGGCTCCAGCCGGACGGTCTGCATCCTGGCCAGGAGCGCCTCAGCCTCGAGCAGCGCGTCCTGGACGCCCGCTGAAGAGGTCTCGCCGATGGCATAGTTACGGAGCTTGGCCACCGTGTCTGTGACGGAGACAAGAGAGTGGAGAGCGTCAAGAGTCAAGGATGGCGAGATTATATTGTTCTTTGCACTGTTCCATCTCCTATATTACAGTTAGTGAGAGTCTAAAACGCATATCGCATTTCGTTTAGAATACCGTGTGATGTCGTGGGATGGTCCACGATTGTTCTGGTATCTTTCTGAGGTTCCGAAGCTGACACAAGTTTCAAGAAGAAAATGAGACCATAATACTTAAGAAGACAGGAACACCATAAAGCCCCTGTGTCCTTACCTTCAGCTTGGAACTGGGTATTTTTGACCTCCTGGTAAATCTCTTCGATCTCGTTCCGGAACTGTCTGACATCGTCCATTTTGGGAGACAGGGCGTTCAGCTGATCTTCCGCCTGCAAAATGAGAAAGGCATGTCACAGAAAAGACATCTGGGCTAGGGAAGTGTTGTCTTTACAATGGCATTACGCTGCTCTCATCCACAAGTGATCGCCATATAAATTCATGAAATCTTTGGAGGCAAAAGACATCCGGAAAAACGTAGTACAAGACAGGTTTCCGAATCAAACCCATCTCAGACATATTCCAATCCCATTCTCTCCTTCTTGATCCTCCTTACATCTTTATTCAACTGACCTGAATGAGTATGGTGGTGGCGTACTTGTCGAGCTCCAGCGTCTCGTACATGGCCCGGAGTGTGAGCTGGCTCTCCTGGTACTGCTGTACCTCCTCCCGGACCGTCTCGGTGGTGTTGGAGAACTGGTAGAAGCGTCTCCAGGGCGCGCCGCCGGCGCCGGTCAGGTTTACAGCAGACGCCATGGCTGACAGGGAGTCGAGGCTCTCGAACAGAAGCTCCACGCAGCCGTCCTGGCATGCTGGAGGAAATAGGGGAGGGGTAAGGGTTATATACTGTCGTCATGGCATGCCTTTAGAACAGATGTTTAAGATTACTTAATGGTGAATAGGGTAAGCAGTGGATATATGGGTTCATTTTTGACCTGACAACTGAGCGGCTCAGATAACATGTCAACAATAGCAAAACATTTGCCTTCGCAGTCCCTTTTAGTTGCAACAGGCTTCAGCCTCACAAAGGCTGAGACTTCGCCTCCCATTCACCATCCACATCGGCGACAGCAGCTTCCCAATTTCACAGCTCTGACCCGCCTCCACGACCCTCACCTTCACATCCCCGCTCTGTGACGATGTGCCGGGGCGCGCAGCGGGTACAGTCGCGGCCCACCACGCCGGTCCGACAGGGACACTGGCCGGTGACGGCGTCACACGTGTTACCGATGCTGCCCACCGGGTCACAGGCGCACGCCCTGCACCCGATGCCCGGCTCCAGAGCCGAGCCGTAGTACCCGAACGCGCACCTGAACGGAAACAAAGAAAAAAGATGTTACGTTCCTTCACATCAGCGTACATAATATTTTCTAATATGCTGCAGATTCATGTACAGAGGCTGCAGTTAATCTCCAATATTGTATTTTGTATGTGCAGAAAAAACTGTCACTGGATCATTCATTCATTCATTCATTCATTCATTCATTCATTCATTCATTCATTCATTCATTCAATAGCTCTAGTTCTTACTCCCTCCCTTCCACCCTCTCCCACTCCTCCCCTCCTCCCTCGGTCACTCACTGGTCACAGCGCTCTCCCGTGTATCCGGGATCACACTGGCATCGGAAGCCGCCCTGGTAGTTTGAGAAGCACGTCTCCGCGTTGGACAGCTGGGCGGTGGGACACAGACACGGCAGGCACGGACCCTCGGACGGGTTACCGTAGTAACCGCGGGCACACACGTCACAGTGCTGGCCGGAGGTGTTGTCCGTGCAGTTCTGTGGACAGATGGGGTGAAAGTGTCAAGTCAGTTGGTGAGGAAACATGCAAATACAAGACGGTCAACAGTGTAAGCACGATCGCTTGTCGAACTTTGAGAAAGCAAGGGATGAACCGTAATATTTTTAAAGGTTACCGGAACAGACTAATTTTTTATTGATTTTTTTTCGTATTTTCTTCATCCACACACAGCTTATGTGTCCCCAAAAGTGCCATGAATTTATCATGAGTTCCAGAAGGCATCATTGCTAAGCTTTTTGGATACGGACCTAATCCCTAAGTCTTATCTTACAATACCTACCCGGCAGCATCCCATGTCTCACTGGACAGTGACCTATGTCGGGGTCGCAGTTCGCTCACCTGACAGTGACCTATAAGTCGGGGTCACAGTTCGCTCACCTGACAGTGCCCTATAACGGGGTCACAGTTCGCTCACCTGACAGTGCCCGGTGTCGGGGTCGCAGTTCGCTCACCTGACAGTGGCCGGTGTCGGGGTCACAGTTCGCTCACCTGACAGTGCCCGGTGTCGGGGCCGCAGTTCGCTCACCTGACAGTGCCCTATAACGGGTCACAGTTCGCTCACCTGACAGTGCCCGGTGTCGGAGTCACAGTTCGCTCACCTGACAGTGCCCGGTGTCGGGGTCGCAGACCTGTGACCTGCCGTTGCACTGACACGGCACCGACTCGCCCACCAGGTCGATGATGATCTCACTGTTGCTGTAGCCAGGCGTGAACGAGCGGTAGAAGCCGATACTCGGGTCCTGTGCGAAATGGTAAGTAAAAAAAAAAAAAAATGAAGTATGAGGCAAATTGAAATTGCATCGTTAATGTCAAAAGTACCTGATAAAATTTAGAACTAATATTTTATTTTTAGATCGAGTTTTTACCGTTAATTACTGTATCATGAAACAGCATTGCTTGAAAATAAGCTTTTAGGTACTCTACGCAAAGCAATATTCCGTTGATGGCAATGCGAATTTAAAATAAATCAGTCTGATGATGACACTAAGACGTCACCGTCCGCTGGTGGTCTCACCTGACAGGAGGATCCGTTGTATCCCCTCGGACAGGCGCAGCGCTCGATACCGAGGGCAGTGCTGCCGGCGTGGCCGTACGTCGGCTCAGCAATGTCCCAGCTGACCTCAGACAGTCTGATGGAGGTAACGAGGGCAGAGATCAGTGATATATGCCGGAAAACTAGTAATATAGCTGCACAGCACAGACGGGTAATAATTGAGCTTATCTGTTGCTCTGAGCAATATGCAGAGCATATGCGTCTCAGTAGACGATTTTTCGAGCCAAAAGTTTACGCTGATGAAAGCAGCAGAATGTGAAATGGAATGACACACGTCCATGTTGCCATAGGCATACAATGTCAATGACTTCAACTATCAATAATGTTTGACTTCAAAGAATACGCGCACACCGTCCTCCGAAGTCAGTAACGTCAGAAGCGCTTCTTATTACCCTAAATGGTGTATCTTATAACTACTGCGAATGATGGACCATGTTTACAGTACCTCAAATCACATGTTTACTTTAACGTCCACAAGAACCGCTTGCTATCACATGTTTGGATCACTGAGCATCGACTCATAACACTGACCATCTAACCATGACATAAACTTCCGTCAAGCGGGTTGGACGTCTGCTAATCACTAAATATTAGCCCCGATGACAGCTGGTCGAGCACCCGGCCCCGGTCTGTCTGCTAGCTCCGCCCCTCCCCCATAAACCACGTGACCTGCGCCAGAACTCACTCGGCCCCGGTCTGTCTGCTAGCTCCGCCCCTCCCCCATAAACCACGTGACCTGCGCCAGAACTCACTCGGCCCGCGTAGCGTCAATGTAGTCGGTGGCGCGGATTAGCACGTGTTGTGTGTTCTGTAGCGCCACCATCAGCATCTCGCGGGTGACCAGAGCCCGGCGGTCCCCTTTCACACGCCAGAAGTTCTCGTGGAGTCTGTTGGAGCGGAGGAGAATGGGCTGGGGTTAAAAAGTGGGGATAATAACACGAACTGTGAGGGTGGGCACATAAACCACCTCTCTGAAGATAAAATGTGGATCGGCTAGTGTCAAACCCTGATATCGTCCGGCACATACATCGCGTTTAAATCGACCAACTTCACAACTGATGCACAATACATTTAAATCGCAGTTGATAATTACTCATCACAGAAGGCTTCTCAAGAACTCTGACTCTCACACTACTCACTTGACCTGGTAGAACCCGTCGGGGCTGGTGGTGGGCGGGTAGTGCTCCAGCACCAGTCGGGTATTCCCCTGCAGCTGTACTAGCGGGTAACTGGAGAGGATGCTGGCAGGGAACGGCCGGGAGCCGCCGAAACTCCGAGAACGGAACCGCAGGTGGCCGTTGTACGAGCGGACCTGAGGCAAAGGCACAATGTCGATAAAATGCCAATTCTTATTTCAAGATTTTATGAAAATGATCGATTGAAATTATGTCAACACATAAGTTTAATTCTCATAAAATGACAAAGCTTACATCGTTAAAACACCATTATTCAACTCTAACCGACTAAATCGTTCACAAACCATTTATCATTCATTCATTCATTCATTCATTCATTCATTCATTCATTCATTCATTCGTTTATTAACGCCTCCATTCATTCATTCTTTTGTTCGTTCATTAATGTATCAATTCATTCATTCGATTACTCATTCATTCATCCATTCATCCAATCATTCATTCATTCATTCATTCATTCATTCATTCATTCATTCATTCATTCATTCATTCACTCATTCATTCATTCCCGCACCACTCCCACCTTGTCTCCGAGGAACTCTGGCGGCAGCTGCCAGTAGATGGGCGCGTCGGACGGGTACTTGAGGCCCACCGTGACGTCACCGGAGTATCCGGGCAGCACGCGCAGTGAGTTGGTGACATTCAGACGCGTCTGGTCGTCGGTCAGCGTCACCGCCCGGCTGTCCGGTAGAGAGAGCTGAGGGAGGGGAGGGGGGAGTAAGAGGGACGGATGGGCTGGTGGAGACGGTAATTGGGGGGGGGGGGCGTACGGGGCAGAGAGGACGATCAGGGGTAGCCAATCATGTAAAAGAGAGAAGGCAATGAGGGAGAAAATAAGGTTGAGCGAAAAAATAAAATTGCGCTCGACTGAAAACAAAAACGTTAAGAACGAAAGAGTAGTAAAAGTTACTTATTATCTTGAGGCTTAGATCCGGAATCACGAAGATATCTCAGACGTTTACAGACCCAAGAGAGCTAAGAAGTTTAGAAGGACAAAAGGATAGTAAAATGTTTTGCAGATCAACCATAGCCCGTTAGCAATCATATATTTCAAAAAGGAAATTACTGAAAGAATGATGAAAATCGCAAACAAATTTGATGTCGCAATCAATAAAAAGTCACATCTCACACTGAACGAAATTTCAGCATAACACGACGCATGCTTGAGGTGCAAGGGCAATTGTGATCATGCACATGCAGTGAATGCCAGCGCGCTTCTAAGAGCACACAAAGCAGCACTAGCGGCAGTGAAGACAGCAGGGTGCATTGACGTGAAGTACGCGGCGCAGCGGTGCGCCTTCAGTGCAAACAAGCCTCCAAAGTCCGGCGGTCACGCCTGTGCTGAACGCATGCATGATAAAAGAAGACGAATGGTGGGAACTGACGGGGTCACACCGGGGGGTGTTGTTTTTCGCTCTCCCGTGCTCTTGTAAGTGCCATAGCGGTCACGATGCGGGCGAGAATGACTCGCCGAAAACGGCGTCTCGCAGTGAATCGCTGCAGGTGGCGAACTACGCACAGCGACCAACTATAGGTTGATGCGCGCTCTCTGATGCAGTGAGGGCTGAGCATCGGTCTGCAGAGCTGCTTGCCGATGCAGGTCTTCGTGCAATGCTATGCGTAACATTTCTATGTGAGTTCTATGGGACACAGTAGGCACAACAGTAGCCAGGCTGGGAGGGTGCATTGTCGCCCAGTGAGGTCTGCGATGCGGTGAATAGCCACAATGAAATGTCTGCCTGGGCACGCTCTCAGCGACGTCTGCACACTGCAGTGATTGGTGACAGCGCTGTCAGTTGCTGTGCCTCGGCTAACATTGCTGTGTGCGGTGCGGTGCGTTACATTGGCGTGGCGCGGTGCAACTATTAGCCATTCATTGGGAGCCTGATTTGTGCCGTGCGGTGCTCTGCCATAGCCTGCTCCTGTAGCAGCCCTGCTCGTACGTGAATGTAGCAGATCTCCTGTGTGTTCCAGGGCACCACAGGCAGTGTGTAGAATGAGTCACCGGTCTCGTTATAGGCCAGGACCACGGTGCGTTTGGTCTTGATGACGGTGAGCTGAAACAGGCGCCGTCAGAGAGGGTGCGGGAAACGAGAGCCGGGAAAGAGGACTGAGAGAGGAAGGGCTGGGCACCAATTTTGTAGATCATGGTTTCATTGGTGGATAAATTAAAAAAAAAAGATAGGGAAAACGAAGACGAAGAAGCAGCTAAAAACTACATTGAAGAGAATATAGCTAATAGGTAGTTCAAACGAAGGGACATACGAGTGAAAAGAAACATAACTTAGAGGGCTACAAGAATGAATGAACGATGAACGTCATCGTTATCATGCACACAGTTCAAATCAAACGGGTTTATAATGTGGAGCTGAGCGGCTTTTGCGAGGCTTGTAAGCATCATTTGAATGAGCTTCGGACATTAGCATGATACTGATGCAGCATTATGCTCAACTGGAAATATCAATAATCAATATTGCCCGTACTACTGCATGTTATTAGCATACGTTCATCCCAGTAGAAGCCAACTCACACTAAATACAGTTCATAAAAGGTATAAATCCGTTTAAATGTCCCCACACAACCACTCAGTTCTCTGCGCCCGTACTTACCGGAACCCAGACGAACTCTCCCTGCGAGCACTGTCCGCTCCTGGTGAAGCAGAAGCAGGCCGTGCAGCCGTCAGGGTTGTCGGCAGACATGCCGAACGTTCCCTCCAGGCAACGGTCGCACTTCTCGCCGAGTGTGTTTTTCTGCGAGGGAAAGAGAGCGCTTCAGTTTGAGGTCCGCTTGTCAGATATGGTGTGCGAAGTGAGTGATTGGAACGGTAAGCGATAGGTGATATAAACTCGATTTCTTAACTCAATTTTAGATGCTCAGTTGCTGTCACCTCTCTTTAAACCACTTAACGGAAAGGTAGGCCGTATTGCACCCAGGCCGAATTGAACGCAGTATGCACGCTGTTTATCTTATGCCGTCATCGTTCCATTCAAACTATTCAATATCAGTTGATAAGTGACATCATTTGACAGTTGAATCCACCATTAAATCCACTCCATTATTCTATCTCCCGTCCCTGTGCAGATCCTTACCTTGCAGCGGCACTGTCCGGTCTGGTCACAGCCGCAGCTGCCGTCCGGTTCACACTCTGACCCGTCCGGGTCACAGCGACACGCCTGGCACCGCGGAAAGTCGAAATAGCCGGCCCGACACCGGTCGCACCTGCGTAATGCGACACAGTGTCAGACCAGATGGCGGCGAGAGATGGGTGGAGATTGTCCCAAAAAGGGGCGCTGATGTCACCTGATAGATTACGGAGCAGGATCCGAACACTGATGGATGCTAATGTATGACAATCTCGCGCATCCATGCAGGAATGCGCTGCATGATCCCGAGGAACGCTTCTGTACGTGCAGATCAATATCAGATAGGTTGCTGTGCAGATCGCGATGGGTTTTGGAACGCCCCCGGCTTCAGACACCCACCTCTGTCCCCCTTCCCCCGGGTCTGGACACCCACCTCTGTCCCCCCTCCCCCGGGTCTGGACACCCACCTCTGTCCCCCCTCCCCCGGGTCTGGACACCCACCTCTGTCCCCCCTCCCCCGGGTCTGGACACCCACCTCTGTCCCCCCTCCCCCGGGTCTGGACACCCACCTCTGTCCCCCCTCCCCCGGGTCTGGACACCCACCTCTGTCCGCCGAAGCCGTCGAAGCAGCGACACTGGCCGGTAGTGACGTCACACTCACTGGACTGTGAGCCCAGCCGGTCGCAGTCGCATTTCTGTACAGAGAGGACGAACAAAAGAATCGTTAGTGGAGTAAGTTGATATAAAGAGTAAATCTCTGGTTTAGGCAATGTTGAGAGAGCAGCGATCCGAAAAACGGTTACTAAGCTAGCCACCAAAGTCGCAAACTCGTAAGGGGATGAGTCCCTTTCTGCTCTCGAATAACGACGATGAGCATTCTGCCTTCATTCTTTATCTATCTTAATATACTGATTTTAATGTATGAACCAGGCATTTTCACTCATAAATCACCGTATCGACATACCATAAAAGGATTATGTTACCACTGTCTCCTTACCTGGCATCCGTTGACGTTGTTCCAGCCCCAGTGGCCGAGGGTGCAGCGCTCGCAGCTGGCACCCACCGTGTTGGGCGGACACACGCACTGACCGGTCACCGGGTCACACAGGTGACCCGGCTGGCTGCACGGCAGGCACTCTGTGCACAGACGGACAGACAGACGTACAGACAGTGTCGGACGGAACGGGAGGTGGCTGGAGCAGTTCAGAGGAGCCGCTGAGGGTAGCAGGCCGCGAGGGACAGGCCGAAGGGATTACATGGGATGCATGGTACATGGGATGCATGGGTATGGTAAGACTGCACCGGGAACACCCGTAAAGAGGCATGGATAACTGAGAACGAGGAAGCGAACCGGGATGGCGGGGTTGTTTAGTCAGGAAGGGCGCTAGGATAAGGGTCACAGAGGAAGAAAGTATCACAACCACGTCAGCGTGTGCAAACAAAACGGTTGACTCATACGTGGGCGTAGAGCAGATGGCCATGAGGGCAGCCGGGGTCATGAGGCGATGACCGGGGCACGGGGAGTGCCCCGTCAGCATGGGCCGGCCGGTGGGCGATGGACCGTGATAGGTCTGTTTATGAGACTGACGATGTGGGGACGTACAGTGACACACTGTTTATTATAACGTGAAAACACGGGGTGACAGCGGCGGTCGCACTAAGGAGGCCGCCTGTAACCGAGTCGACACCGCGCGCACGCTCATGGGAGACTGCTCGACGGTTCGGCACTACATAAGCAAACACACAACAGAGTTCACAATCGGGCCTCTGAGCAGCTGGCAACATCTAAGCGGGTTGAATCGGTCTTTGTATGCTCGGATGTGAGCCAAAATGATCGGGATCAAGGGAATTATTACCAATATTAACCATCAGTGATAACTCGAACAGATACGACAAAATCAATCAAGGTTCTATAGCAACGGATAATCTTTAAATGAAATACAAAAGCTCCTACAACCCGTTTTATTTTACTGCCCACTCTCTGAGTAAAACAGACCCATCTCCAAGCCAGCCCAGCAGCCCCCCCCCCCTGAAGCTCCGGCTCTCACCCTGGCAGCCCCCGGCGGCCAGCTGGAAGTAGCCGGGCAGACAGGAGGTGCACCGCTCCCCTCCGACTCCGGGTTTACAGCGGCACCGGCCAGTCACCGGGTCACAGACGGCCGGCGACGAGCCCTCCGGGTCACAGTCGCACGGCCGGCAGCCGGCGCCTGACTCCAGGCCAAAGTAGCCCTCCTGAGGTCAGACAGGGTCACACCAGGTCACAACAGGTCACAGGGGGTCACAGTCGCACGGCCGACAGTTGGCGCCCGACTCCAGGCCAAAATAGCCCTCCTGAGGTCACAGAGGGTCACTGTCATCTTTATAAAAGTAGCGGGACGCACTAGATCGCAGTGGGCCTTAGTGGCAACGGCATGCCTAGCCAGTAGCCACACAGGGTCACAATAAGTCGCGGTCATAAACTGATGAATAAGTCCACAGCAGTCAATACGGTTCCCTGTCCAGTTCTCACCGAGTATATCGGTAACCATAAATCGATCTGCAGTCTGAATCACCAGACCGCAGATCAGACAGATAACGCCCTGCTGACTCGCTAACGGGGGACGGGAGGCGCTGATTCACCGCATTTGAGCATGGTCCGTACAGACAGCGTTCACTAGATTGTGAATCTGTAGACTGGGTGCTATTCTACTCGCTAATAGATGGCGATTATTTGCTATCACATCCCGGTACCGAATAGGCATTTGTTCTGATATAACGTTGGAGGAAACAGCAACCACACTTTCTATAGATGGGTTAATGGTAGATCCAGTCCGTTACCCAACAGGTATTTCACTCGGAGTAAATTCCTATGACTGTTACCACAGTCAATACTTGATAAGATACTTTTTGCTTGCCAGTGGTCACAGCCTCACCATGAAGGTGATCTCAATCAGTATCACCAATCACATCAGTCCTTGCATATCTACGACAGTCAGCAGACAGCACCTGGCAGTTTGCACCTGTTCTGTTCATCACTACAGTGCTTACCGACAACGGTAACAGTCCTCCCCTGCCATGCAAGCGATCTCACTGCTCACCTGACAGCGGTCGCACTGCTGTCCGACCACGCCCGGTTTGCAGGTGCAGGCGCCCGTGATGATGTCACACGTGCTGTCCGTGGAGCCCAGCTTGTTGCACCGACACCCTGACAACAGATGGGGGGGGGGAGGCAGGTGGAGTCAGCCTGAGACAGAGGGGGTATGGGTGGGTGTCACTGATCGCCCATATTACATTTGCTGTACCCAGGTAATTCATTGATTCATTCATTTCGTCATTATTGAGCTTCAAATGCCAAGCTATTTATCTGACTTCTGTCCAAGGCATCCTACTGTCACTGCAGCGTGCAGGAATGGCTCCTTATTTACAACGTCTTATTATGCCAATTTCCAAAGTACACGTATCATTCCTATGTTGTCCCTCGTCCACTTGTCATTGATGAAGCGCCGCCCACCGCAGCCCAGTGGGTCAGTGGGACCGGGGCGGGACGAGGGGCTGGGGCGAGGGTACCGAGCCGGTGGCGCCGCGGTGGCGCACACGCCGATACCGGCTCGGGTGCCGGCGAACGGCTCAGGTGTTGAAGCTCCCTCCCCTCCCCCTCCTCCCTCTCACCTCCCCCGGCGGGGGGGGGGGGGGGCAGAGCTGGCCAGAGAGGCGTGATTCATGTGCACCGGACGCCCGGCCGGCCGGCCGACACCTGACACCGGGTCCGACACACCTGACACCGGCGGCACGGGTCAGAGAGCGGCCGACTCGGCCGTGCGGGCACGTGCTGACACGTGCAGATCAGCCCCGTGTCGGCGACGGCAACGTGCCTCTATCAGAAATGTAAAGCCCCATTACAAACGGCCGATGTTGAACACCAAAAATGTGCTTGTTATGATTACTTAGCTGCTCATCCTTCAAAGATAGGCGATATATAACATTAAGTCTTAACTCAGAGCAGACACAGTGGAAACTAACCTCTGACAAGACGCATGCACGCGGTCAAGGATTCTTATCTCGCCTCACGAAATCCAATACAATATTGTCCAAGCCATGCATGCTTTAGCTCCATTCATGCAACTCCACGCCCTATCTCCGTCCCAGATCTCCGATAACCGACCTCGTTCTGCGCAGCTCTGGAAGGGACGTGCGCAGCTCTGGAATGGACGTGCGGAGCTCTGGAATGGACGTGCGGAGCTCTGGAAGGGACGTGCGTAACGCTGAGAGGGTCCGACGGTGCGGTAACACAATGCCGGCGCCGCCGTGTGGGGTCGCCAGGGATCGGTAACGTGTCACGATCTGCCCAGAGTCGGTACCCTGTCATGATGCCGGTACTGGTATCGTGCGAGATTCGGTGGTATCTGTACCATACAGGTTCGTTAGAATTATATCTCCATAGGATACTTTTGGATAAGAGTATCCTACTGAACCAGCCTCATAGCCATCGCATCCCAGGGGAAAAATTGTCGGCATCAGCTACTCGCATATCAGCACATCAGCACCACAGAGGCTTATCAGCTCATACAATCTTCTTTGATGATCACAAATGCTTATCAGCATCATATGAGCTCAATCGGTACATTGGTGGTTCCCAGCTCAGTGATACAATCACCGTTCTGAGGCTCACTGTATCTACCACTGTGAGAGGTCACCACTCCCCTCCAGCGAGGTGTGTTCTCTCTCCCGACCAGCCGACCTCGCACGCGGCACACCCGCGCGCATGCCACCGCCATTGAGGCGTGCGCGGTCGCAACTGGATACAGCCGCTCAACTAATGAGTTATGCACCGGCGCTGGCGCAGCGCGCGGCGGGCGGGCCGGCCCTCCCACAGGTGGGACTCGGGACAGGTTGAGGGACTCGGGATGGGAGTGTGGGACTCGGGATGGGAGTGTGGGACCCGGGATGGGAGTGTGGGATAAGATCCTTGGGGTTCTGGATTAGAGATGCTGGCTTGGAGGATTAGGACGTCTGTCGTCTTTATTATCCGATGGGGATCCGGGAATTGGGAAATTTTGCATGCGGAAATTCACAGGCCATAGCATTCACGGGACAGTGGACACGAAAGATTGCTGGGTGAAGAAACAAAGCTACAAAGTTTCTTTGAAATCGCACGCGTATGTGACACGCATACACGCATATAAATGTGACGTGGACATTTGAGATCCGGTGATGAGAGTTGGGTTACCAGGCGCAGGATACCGTATACGAGTTTTGAGGACGGGTAGGCATACGATACTTGATACTGGATCGGGGTTGCGGGGTAGGTACATACGTGATAAGGCACCGCAATGCGGAGATGAGATGGAAAGGGTGTGATACAGGGAATCGGGATGGAAATGTTGGAGTACTGGAGGAAGGAAAATTAGATACGGCACAAATGATGGAATGCTCGCGGAGAACGAGCATCAAATTCCAGACATTGCGGCCGAGAAGGCTGATTCGCAGAGCGACCGAGTGTAAAGACATGTAATGCAAATCAGGGGACTGGTCCCACTACAATCTACATGCCAGGGGAACTCCATGGGTACAGCGCATGCGTAGGCAGGATAAGGAGCCATGCGGCATCACGCCGGGTGCCGGATGTAAAACGTCCACTGAGCCGGATGGCAGAAACTGGGACAGCCGACAGGCGGAAGTGCAATGCTCGAGATGTGTGGCAGACTCGTCTCGCATAGAATAAAGCCGTATATATTTCGTGTTATATAGAGAGAATTCGTGTTCGCAACAGAGCAGGAGACATTTAGTATGAATGCTAGAGCATCATGAAAAAGGTGCAGTGAAAAGAAGCAGCGTGATTAAAAACAACGTCTCTTTTGAGTCTGCAACATATGTAAGGGGAGGTTCTAAGTTGCTTATGATGTCTCTCATAGTTCTCTGAGCAAACTGCGGTGACGCCCAGGCTGACGAATAACTCGTTACAGCACGACAAACTCTCATCTCCCGCTGCTAGTTGTGTACGCCCGGTGCGGTATACAGTCCCCGCAATCTCCCACCGTGGCTCGACTGACCCGGGACATTCGTCAACACACTTCCATTGTATTCAAATGTCCGCCGCAGCTCCGCACATGGGTGGCTGAGAGCCATGGAGGTCTGACTGATGACAGAGGAAAGGCGGCCACTGAGGTGCCGACATTACAGAGTTCGTGCGTCTCTCCCAGGCTGGGTGGCTGGAGTTGACCAATTCTAAGGTTTGAGTTGAGGGCTGTAACCGTATCTATTGATTGGTTGTTGATGGCAAACTTTCTACGTCAGTGTTTTCGACCCCTCGAGACTGATTGTCACCATCCTGACTGAGATCGAACACCTGCGAACAATCCCCCAAATCCCACAAATCACCACCATAGTGCATCTCCAGTCTGCTCCGTGGGGTGCCCGTCTCGACCATTCCCGCACTGAAATAGCCGCTCATTGCCAGTACGGTCTCCAACCCACCGTCACTCATCACAGACACCGCCCAGCCTCTCTGCGAACCTCTCTGCGTGGGTCAGCGCCCGGTCGGAGGGACGGGGAGGGTCTCAGGTGCGGAATATGAAGCACCGACCGGCCGCGTGAGTTCGCCGACTCGAATTGAGTCGTGCCTCCGCGAACGATCAATCGCCGGAGCGTGACCCGGCCCGGCGCACTGCATATTGGGACGGACCGGATCGTGTCCTGACCCCACGCGCGGAAGGGGATGGTAGTTGAAACTTGAGAATTCAGCGAGCGACCGCGACCGGTAGAGCACGGGAACGAGTTTGGAGCCGGAGGACAGGAGGGAAGGGTCGGTACGGGAGGATAAAGGGACGGGAATAGAAACTAAAATGACGTGTTGTCAAGGACCTTATCGGTGGTAGAGACAAGTAGCAAACGGTATGATTGCTGCATGCAGGACGCAGGTGAAACATACATGCAACATGCGGCTACATGTGGAGGAATTATAACTTATCAAATGCAGGGAGACGATTTGCGTGTGTCAGCATTGACAACCTGCAATTCGTGAAGTTGTCGGCGACCAGGTAATACCACGAGTAAAAAAAAAAACTTTATGGCCGAGACTAAACGAAACATCGTGCGTGTCATGAGGTTCCTGTCAAATAAAAGGATGGCATGAGCTTACAAATCAGAGCTGCGAGCCATACATCAAAGCTGCCGATGATTATGTATTCAGACCGAATTGAGGATTACGGACTAGAATATGTCTGGAATGGGTCTCGCTGTCATACCAAGAATGATGATGCTGACGCTATTTGTCCAAGTTGGAGACTGGAGTAGAAAGTGACTGCGATCAATTTCTTCTCCACCTCGCTATCCCGGATCCGCGAGAATGTAAACCATCGATGCTATTTTATCGCTATTTTGATGCATCATTTGGAACTTGGAAGATGCATGTTTGCTTGGCGTTCATGACGAGGTCGTGGCCAAATAGTTCCCACAAATATCCCGAACGTAAATATCAGCTAAATCACAACAACGTCGGTTACTGAAAATATCATTTCCTGGCTTCGATGCCAACAAAATCCGATCGTGCCTCCACGGCACTGACGCCTACCGGTGTCATGATATAGGATCCCAGTCCGGTCTCACAGTGCGATCTTTGATCTCTGGGTCTGATATCAGTCGGCCGACACCGGCGGACGTCTGGGACAGCCGTCTGATCGGTTACCACCCGGCCGATAGTGAGCCGAACGGCCGGTCATGGCGCCCGTTTGAAAACAGCCCACCGGACGCTGCCGGCAGACGAAATCAATCATCGGTCTGCAACAGCACTCGGCCGCGGCCGTCATCAGGAGTCCATTGAGTCCCGTGCCGCCAGTCACGGTCACAGCGGGTCTATCAGCGCTCCGAGAGGGCGGTCCGAGAAAGGCGGAACACTCGGCCGGCCTGCGTAAAAATTCAGCCGAGTGAAGACGGCGGACGTATTTGGGTTTACGCGGTGATTCATGGGGAGGTCAGTGATGGGAGTGTGGGCGCCGGGGTGCAGCCGTTTTGTTCGGCCGTGCACGTTTGCATGAATGGGCTCAGTTTGGGGTCGTGTGTGGCTCACAACTCACCGTATTTCAGTCCCAGCCAGCTCTGGTAGATGTCTCGGTTTGGCGAGCGCAGGTACTGGGTCCAGGTTGGTGCGGCCAAGGTCAAACACAGCACCAGCACCACTCGTGTCCGCCACATGGTCTGTCTGTCTGG